TTCACCGCGATCAATTGGTTGAGGTTCAGGCAGTTGAAGTCGACCGTCAACTGGTTCTTCAGGAGCTTCGGCTTCATCTTCCGAACCCGCATCGCCTTCTGGCGTCATGGCTGCTGGAGGTCCTGGCGCAAGTTCACCAGGGAAGAATTCCTCGAGACTATCGTCACCACGTCCAGGAATTTCATCGTCGTCTGCGATGGAAGCCTCATACAGTTCTTCGACCTCTTGGACTTCGTCCTCAGACTCAGTGCCGACAGCTGACATGCGAGACCTTCGAACAGGTGAGATGATAGGCTTGCCGTTCCCGGCAGCGGAGTCCCATGAAAACGGAATCCCTACTGCAGCGGGTACCTGGCCATCTCTTGATGGTAAATAAGGAACAAAATCTTTGACTTCAAGTTTGATCTTAGTTCCATCTTTCTTCTTGAAATATGGGCGACTAAAGCTCTTCCAAACAAAATCCCATCCATCTTGAATACACCTCATCCCTACCGACATTACAGCCGGGGTATCAGGAAGAACATATGGATGAACTTCTTTATCGATGCAATCAATATGAACAGAAGCTTGTTGGTCAGCTGATTGAGAACCATTTGCAGTGATTAATTCAAGGGGTTCATGAGAGTGATACACAATGTCATCGGGAATCATCTTGCTGCAAACTAAGTCCTGAGCACTACCAGTGTCAGCGATCCATGCGATTTCAGCGGATGCATTACGCTGCTGAGAAGGCATGTGTCCTGGCAATGCATTCAGATCAGAACGGATGCAGTGGCGACAGCCAATATCACTGTCACATTCAAAGCTGCATTTGCAAAGCTTACCATGCAACTCCCGGAAGACAGCTGATTGCAACATCTGTGCTGCAAGTATTGCATCACTTTCTCGTGCTTCGATCGTATCTTTACGAGTACGATCGTCCTTGGTGATGCGAACTGGATTGAACATTCGTTGTTTGGCTTGGCACGGATATAAATTACAATTTTGCTCAATGGGAACTTCGAAGATTTCATCGTTGCCCCCAAATGAAACAGTGCGATTGGGTGTAACTGGCATGGCAAAATGCTGGTTGAAACAATGCGGAGAGGCGATGCCTTCCGGCACGCGATGAGTGCTGGTCGAAGGATTGACGACTGCGACCATCATCAGAGCGCGCATCAGGCAAACTGCAGCTGAGCCAGAGGAAGATGGTTTTCCCCCTTTGTCCTTGAGACTCTGTGAGCCTCTCGAGGAGTTGGAACCTCGACTTGACGATCTGGAGCGATCGCCCTTCTTCTTATTCTTCTTCTTCTTTTTCTGGCTCTTTCCACGCTTGTCATCTTTGGTAGATGCAGCTGCAGGCTTTGGTGGGTGTTGGAAAGCACAGTCATTACCTCGCTGACACTTACCTGCCTTTCAAAACTTACACACTTGGTTCCTAGATCCTGGAGACAAAGATCGACCATCGCCCCTTGACTTGGACCTAGACTTGCCTTTCTTACCTCCGCCTTTTCCTTTGTCTGCCTTTTCATGTTTATATCGGCAATCCTTTCCCCTGGTACACTTGCCAGCCTGGAAGTCGTAGCAAATGCCAGTGGGCTTTCCCGTGGATGTCGGCCTCGTGGGTGCTGGCGTTGCATCTCTTTTGCCTGAAACGGACTTCTTGGTGGCCTGGCGCATCTTCTCCAGACGTCTCCTCTCAAGGTAGTCCCTTGCAGCTTTCATGAGAAAATCATAAGAGCGGTTGGGTTCCCCCTCCGGTGTGCGATCATACACAGCCAGATCATGAGAGAGAGGCTTGAAGTTCTTGATGGCGTTGTGAAAGTAGGCTTGCTTCCACATCATGTCAGGCTCGGAAGTCATTCCAGCGATCACAGCGTCCCATCGGGTGATGAAACCTCTGAGATCATCATTGACCAAGGTAACAGCCATGAGGTCCTCAATGTCGTACACTGCACCATGCTTCCTACTTGTACTGAAGTGTTTATGAATCATGAGCAATGCTTGACGTCCCCTAGCTGGTGTCCCTGACTTGGCTTGTTCTTCTTTAAAGATGTCAAGTTGCCGTGCAAAGTCCCCTTCGCAGATGTTGGTGAGCGAAGACATGAGCTTTGCGTCCAGGGTCACGAACTTACCTGAGTCCTTCAAGGCATCGACAGACTGATCTGTCCTGAACACTTCCTCCACCCACTGAAAGGCTAGGTCGGGTTTAGCAGAAGCAGCAATTATGGCATCCCTTACTCGGATTCTCCAATTCCTATAATTTTCGGGTTGAGGGAACTTAGGTACAAGGATCCTATCAGACTCTTTGGCCTTAGTATCACTAGTCCTAGAACGCTCTAAGGCCTTTTTGACCTTTCGTGCAAAGGAACTCTCAGAATCCGAACTTGACGTCGTAGGGGATGTTGATGATGAAGGTGAGGATGAAGGATCTCTTCGACGTCGTCGTCGCGAACGGCCACGACTAGTCTTGCGGTCCTTCTTCTTGTCTTTCTTGTCTTTGCGACCTCTCTTGTCGTCATAGTCATCATCACCATCGTCATCTCCTGGAGGTCCACCGCCGGGAAGTCCCGGTGGCTTCAAAGGTTCTGCCTGAAAATGCTCATCGTCAGCATCTGATGAATGCTGAGGCTTCTTGCTTCCCGAAGCTAACTCTACAATGGTTGGACCCTTGGGCTTCGAGGATTGTGGAATGGGTTTTCCGGGACCGTAATGGATCATGAGTCCAGGAGTTCCCTCCAGAGGTTGAGACTTTAGATTCCGGATGAGCTCTCTCTGCTCCTTCCGAAGCTTCTCAATCTCCGCCTCGAAGTCCTTCTTCTGAGATTCGGCCAGCTTATGCATGTTCAAAGCGTGTTGATTCATTGCATCAATCTGAGTGCGGTACTCTGCAAGTTCTGAACGTGCTGCCTGCAGATCAGCATTGGACTTCTCCGCAGACGATGTCAAAACACCTGCATTGTTGACCACCTGAGTCAGTTCGGCACTCAGTTCCCTGATGCGATGATCCTGCGCTGTGACCTGCAGTTGAGCAGATTTCTGCTCACTCATCGCCTGGGCGGCCTGCTCGTTCAACAAAAGGTTTCTCCTGGAAATTTCTTCGGCTGCTTGTTGTTCGACGCTTGCAAGTTGATCTCGAGCTTCACTCACAAGCTCCATACGTTGACGTTCCATGACCTCAGAGTGACGTACATTTGCCTCACTCTGCAATGCCTGCTGCTGAGCAGCCATAAGTTGGTTCGCCAGGTTCGGATCAATACCCTGTTGTACCACTGCCACATTGGCGGTACGCTGATCAACAGTGTTAAAGTTGATGGTATTGAGCTGACTGATTTCAACACTCGAGTCCAAGACGCCTGGCATGTTCCTGCGTGGATCTTGACGGCATGGGTCAAACTCTTCATCCAAGTAACTCATATCCCCTTCTGTTGTCGTAGCCGCACCTGAGTGGATCACCACTTCCTCCGGTTGTGTAGGGTTCGCTAAGGCCAGAGCAGCCGAGGCGTTCCCGCCCGGGGCAGGGAGCGCGGGGGTAGAAGCCATTGCGAAAGCTACAGAGAAAGAGCGAAAAGTGCGAAACAAAAGGAAACCAGCGATCGCTTAGCGATACGGCTGATAACCTGTAGAAACCACTAAGGGCCACAAACCAGATACCCAGCTACGCACTATTTTGCTTGAGCCACGCCACAGTATAGGTGAGATTACATGCTATATGTATGTATGTAATGTATGTAATGTATGTAATGTATGTAATGTATGTAATGTATGTAATGTATGTAATGTATGTAATGTATGTAATGTATGTAATGTAATGTATGTAATGTATATAATGTATGTAATGTATGTATATAATGTAATGTAATGTAATGTTATGTTATGTAATGTTATGTTATGTTATGTAATGTTATGTATGTATGTATGTGCATGCATGCTTGCGTGTATGTATGGATGTATGTGTGGATGGATGGATGGATGGATGGATGGATAGATAGATAGATGGACGGATGGATCGATAAATAGATGGATGGATGGATAGATGGATGGATAGATAGATGGATGGATGGATAGACAGGTAGATGGATGGATAGATAGATGGATGGATGGATGAATGGAGAGATAGAATGATGGATGGATAGATAGATAGATGGATGGATAGATAGATAGAAAGATGGATGGATAGATAGATAGATGGACGGATAGATAGATAGAAAGATGGATGGATGGATAGATAGATGGACGGATGGATAGATAGATAGATGGATAGATAGGTAGATGGATAGGTAGATGGATGGATAGATAGATGGATGGATAGATAGAAAGATCGATAGATAGATAGATGGATGGATAGATAGATAGATGGATGGATAGATAGATGGATGGATGGATAGATAGATAGATGGATGGATAGATAGAAAGATGGATGCATGGATAGATGGATGGATGGATGGATGGATGGATAGATAGAATGATGGATGGATAGATAGATGGATGGATAGATAGAAAGATGGATGGATGGATGGATGGATAGATGGACGGATGGATAGATAGATAGATGGACAGATAGGTAGATGGATAGGTAGATGGATGGATAGATAGATAGATAGATGGATAGATAGATGGATGGATAGATAGATAGATGGATGGATAGATAGATGGATGGATAGATAGAAAGATCGATAGATAGATAGATGGATGGATAGATAGATAGATGGATGGATAGATAGATGGATGGATGGATAGATAGATAGATGGATGGATAGATAGAAAGATGGATGCATGGATAGATGGATGGATGGATAGATAGATGGATGGATAGATAGATAGATGGATGGATAGATAGATGGATGGATAGATAGAAAGATGGATGGATGGATAGATAGATGGATGGATAGATAGATGGATGGATAGATAGATAGATAGATGGATATATAGATGGATCTTTCTCAAAATCGGGGTATCTCGCGCGTCCCCAAACATTTCAAACTATTGTTTTCCCATTAAAAGATATTCAGACCCCCAGTTCAGCGCAAGGCACAGCGATTGGAGCCGCGACTGGCCCGCCCCAAGCGCGCATCGTTGCTGTTCCACTTGGACTCTTCCAGAGACCTCGGGAACCGGCGTGGCAGTTCAAGAAAAAACGTCGTAAGATCACCATGGTCCTATCTCTTTAGCCAAATGCGGGATGGTCATTCCAAGTCGGCTCCATCTTCATCAGGATTTATGGATTCAAGTAGGTTCAAACGAGATGAAAACGTGAAGTGAATGATGCAGGGTTTGCCGAGGGGACTTAAGAAATTGACAAGATCTGTCTTGCTGGCCCAATGTTTCCCATATTTGCACCACAACACGCCCACTCGCCGCCAGTCATTTTGCTCCGCCGGGATCCAGCCATCTCACATTCTAAATCAGTGGAGTTGCCCCAGTAGCCCAGTAGCCCCTCACTTCTTGGCGCCAGCCTTGGCCTTCTCCTTTCCCCTGGCCTTCTTCATGCGGTTCTTGGTATCCTTCTTGGCACGACGTCCGGGGCCCTTCTTCTCACCACCCAGGCCGGTGCGCTTCAGGCGGTACTTGGGCTCGAACTTCTTCAGCTTCTCCAGGTTCTCGTAGATCAAACCGAAGCCGCTGCTGCGGCCACCTGAAGCTCTGGAAGCAGTGCTAAATTGCTAAATGCTTCAGAGATATGTGTTTAGGCAAGTGTCAGCATCCAGGTGATGATTTGCTTCTAAGAAGTGCATGCAACCCCTGTTGAAATGGTATTGTCACCCTCGGAAATCAGAATCAACGTCTGCTGCTGCATCATCATCATCATCATCATCATCATCAGTTTTGGCCATAGCTCACATCTGGTTGAAACAGTGGGACCATCTCCAACATGAAGGATGCCATCCAGAGGTAACATTTGAAGTCCACTAGTTTGGGGACACCTAGACATTAGATTGCAAGGAGTTCCAGTCATTGTATAGCTATTTTTGGACCGCGTCTGGGTTCAACCCCCCTCAAATTCACAGTGTCTTTTGGCTTGTCTCCCCATGGGCTATGCACCCTCGCAATGCTCTTCCAGGTTCTACCCCCAATTGGGTCCCGTGGCCAACCTCCAAAGGCAGTCTTGAAGCTGAAGAGTTGGATGCACTGAACGTCATGGACCTTGTACATGCTGCGCAGCTTTTCGGCCAGATCCTTCTTCGAAACATTGGCCATACCTGGGTTGCCACAGTTGGGACCCAAGAGTCCACAGTTGCTGGTGATTTTCTGGCGTTTTTTGGTGCTCCCCCAAGAATGTCCAGTTTAGTGTTGGATTTGATTGCAGTCGCTCACCCTTTGGGTCCCACATACGGGTTGTCATATTTAGACGGATGGGATTGATCAAGAAAGACTTAACCTGTTGTGTTCCAAAACTTGGCGCCAGATACCAGGATGGATCACATCCAAGACGAACTGCTTGCGTCCCAGCAAGGGGTTGTTCAGGAACTTGCGCGTGCGAACGGTGAACTCAGACATGGCGATCTTTGGTCGGGTCACGGGTCGATGGAAATTCACCGGGCTGGGCGGATCCCTTGAGCCAACGGGCGGTGTCAAAAAAATACAAACATGGCAGGCCACGTTTACAAGGTGGGATCCTCCGAAGTTTCCTTCTCGTGCATGCAACTAGGAATGTATCTATATATATATATATCTGTGTGTGTGTGTATGTGTACTTATGTACTTATTAACTATGTAATCTTATACACAGTTGGCACACATTTGCAGGATATATTGCATGTGCTTTCTTTGGCGACGTCATTGTCAGATAGGCGTCAGGCGTCCCCCAAGCCACGATCGCCGAGCCACTCATCATAGCGTTGCATCTCATCCCATGTGATCCCTGTCGACACTTCCTGGGCTTGCCCACATCGTCATCCGAGACTCAGAACGGGTTTTTTGTGGAAGGGGCTGGGGTTCAAGTGTTCATTAGAATCTGGCTTTATACCTGGCATTGACTTAACCTCAACCATCAAAAGCATGCCATTGTTCAATCCTCCGGAGTCTGGTGGTGTGCGGTCCTTGCTGAGGCTGCAGAACCCAGCCCAAATGACAGAGTGATACCTGACAGTCCACTTGGCTCTGGCTCAAAAAATAGGAGATGAGATTACCCAAAAAATTGTAGCTTCAATGGGAAAAGCATGGAAAAGCGAACGAAACTGATGACAAGCCAAGGGATGGAATGGTGTTCCAAGCATTTGAGACGGTCCAATTCCAGCTGGTCACACGGCGCAGCAAAGTCTCGTACAAACTAGCATGCGTTTTGTTTGCACTCCTCGACTTTTGCTAGTAAAATCGCGAATGCTTCTTTCTTTGTTGTTCTAGCATCATCTAGCATCCCCCTTTTTCCACCATGTCTCCATAAAATCCACATTTTGCCGGGTTTGGGATCCCATGTTCTCAGAGCCGTTTGCGCCAAGGGGCCCCAGCCCGACCATCCTGATACTCCACCACCTTCATGCTCAGATCTGGACCGTGAAAGAGAGCTCCCTGGCCACCCAACCTCAGGGGCCAGGCATCGTGATCCCCAAAAAAAACGTCAAAAAAATAGCAGAATCATCATGAACACAGCATGCAACGGTGGTTTTCGAAGTCTTTTTGGGACCATTTGGGACCACTATGCTTGACTTGGAGGTACCTAAGAGTATGCACTGCAGGACCTGTGTGTTCCAAACATTTGGAAGTAAATGGCACGGGGCCTCCATTAGGTACCTCGGCCAGCAGAAACTGGAATCTAATGCTAAACATCCAAGACATGCCCAGAACCTTTGGGTTTACCTGTCGGCTATAGGTCGCTGGATCCGACACCGAATCAAGAAGGCCAAGCAAGCTAGTGACAGTAATCACTGGGGCTGCTTGATGCTACTTGCATCAGCATGTAAATGCAAGCAGGAACATGGGTGAACATTGGTGAACAGGCGTGAACTAGTTCCGAGCTTTCTGGTGAGTGATTGCCATGGTTTTTCAAACTCCAAGCTGTCCGAGGTACTGTTGGGATAGGTCCATGAAATCAAAATGTCGCAGATCCCATCGGTGATGAGTTGGTGTCCCAGCAGCCCAGCACCACTGCAGTTTTTGCCGGGCCTCCAAGGAATTTTCTCTGGTGTTCCAAGCCATCAGTGAAAAGCCACACAAGGCATCGAAAAGCTGCCACTCTTCGCTGTTGCACTGGATGTTTTGGAAGAAAAACCCTAGAATTGGATTATGTTTTGCCCATTTTTTCCACCGGAATATCATGGAAGTGCGAAGCAGTTGTTTTTTATAAATCCCAGGTTGGTCTACCACCATCACAACAAATGTCCAGAGGTTCTTGGAGACACAAACTCGAGGCTGTCGCCTGCTCGTTCAGCGAGATGGGATCACCACCCTCCACCAGCAACTGGCGTTCCCCTCCTGCCACAGCCCATGGCACCCCATGGCACCCCATGAAGGGCATGTACTGGAAGGGGTAGAATGGGGAAAAATCCGGGCTGGCGCTTCTATCAAACTCAAAGAGCGACAAAACACGAAAACGCTGACAGCAACTAAAGGTTACGTTGCTTCATGCTTTGTTGATTGATGCACCTCTTTGTCAGAGTTTCTGAACTCTTGCCTGTGGGGATCTCTACTGTAGAAACAACTCTGGCACTCAGGCTTCGCAATCCATTTTCACAGGTGAGCTGGCCACCCTGCTGATCCTTGTGAAACTCGCTATGTGCAGCTGGCTCCCATATCCACAAGCGGTTGGTGATTCAACCGTTCAACTCATCCAAAAAGAAACAGTTGATATCTCTTGGCACACAGCCCAAGCGTGGTGAAAAGATTTCACAAGTTTGAAGCCGTCATCTCAACAACTAAGTCCCTTGATGCAAATGGTTGCTTTGTATCTATGTTGCTTAGTTGACATTCCAAGACTATGTAATTTCCAACCTTCCCGCAGTGAATGAAGAGCATCCGGACACCTTTAAGAATCATTCCTGCCAATCGCGCTGCCAAGCTGCCGAGCTAGGATTTGCTAGACTAGAGAATGGATCAGCTGCCTGCCATCAATGAATATAGATTTACTTGGTTCATTTCTTCACTGAACCTCACTGACTTATATGTGTGTGGTTTATATATATATATATACATACAATTGTATACACGACATATATATAATAGTACACGTTATATCAGCTTGGAAGAAACCGAGTATAAACAAACAAACATTGGCAGCTGGCAAAGCTGGCAGTCGCGACGGGCCAACTGTGATGCGCGCGGGCACGGGTGGCTGGCGCGGGCAAATCAGCGTCTGAAAGCGGTGGGTGCGGATCCAAAGCCTGACTGCGGCCATCTCCGACGCTTTCTGCACTTGCATCAGCCACTGAATGAGGAACATTTTGAGTTTGAGGAAGAATTGGCCATACTTGCAAGGGGATGTGTCTCTGCTGTTGCTTCAGGAATGGCAATCCGTCTGTATCTCATTTTCGTGCGCCTCCACAGCCGCCGCAGCCACCGCAGCCGCCGCAGCTGCCGCAGCCGCCGCAGCCGCCACAACCGCAGCCTCCGCAACCACAGCCGCCACAACCGCAGCCCCCGCAGCCACAGCCGCCGCAACCGCAGCCGCCGCAACCGCAGCCACCGCAGCCACCGCAACTGCAGCCGCCGCAGCCGCAGCCACTACAACCGCCACATCCACCACATCCGCCACATCCACCGCATCCGCCGCAACCTTTCTGGCACATGTTGGCAAATGCCGCCACAAGCAGTACAAGGGCAGAGATCGAGCGAGAGAGAGAGAGAGAGAGAGATCTATCTGGCAAAACAACGGCCAAGTAAAGCAGCTACAATAGTAACAATAGCTACAAAGTAGCAAGCATTGCCAATGGACATCCTCAAACCACGTGGTTTGGCTGGGTTATGCCCCGGCAAATTTACATATTAAATATTATGCATCCAGCGCAAATCCGATGCCCATTCTGAATTTTGCCGGACCCACCCTGCTTACATAGGACCCAGAATTTGGTGTATGGATGGGTTCCCTTGATGCTTGGCCTATGCCCACATCCAACAAGAGTATATCTGAATGGCAAGAAACCCATCTGGAAGCCACCAGAAGAACCTGCAGCTGGGTGCAGAATGCCGGTTCCTATGGTCCTTTACATTGGCATCAAGTGACAACCCACTGAAAGACAAGCACGCTCCTTCTCTGGAGCTCCTTCCTGCTTCTATTAGGAAACTGTCCTAAAGCTGATTTGCTGCCCAAGTCGCCGCTAGTCTTTTCAGAGACTTTGTTCATCTTTTCCTGCGCTGAAATTTTTGCGGGGCATTGTTTGATCCTGCTTCATGTATTGGTAGATGAGAGTTCAGCTAGCTGAAGCAGCACACTGGGCGTTGCCAAATGACGACTATGTGAAACAGTTGGTGCCTTTGTCAGACCTCCCCCACCAATCCAATCATACTCCTTAAATATGCACAGCAACCAAGTGCGGATCTTCCTAGCCACAGCAAAGGCAAATTTGAATATGTCGACACCACATGTTCTTGCTTGGTTCTATGATTCTTTATCCCTAGCTGGTACTTTATGGGTGTGTCTGAAAATAGAGAAAACCCCTTTTTACCCAATGGTTTTGCTGATCATTATCCCGTTTTTAAATGGCTATTTCATTGGGAATATTAACCCAACATTTTCATCACCAAACCCTTATGGAATTAAGCCACCATGCTCCCCCGAGGCAGTGCCTGTGCTTCTTTGAGCTTTTTCTGCGTTTCCATCATCATCTTGGCCATCGTGGCCTTGGCCCATCCGCTACCCTCTGGTTGAATTATCCACTGGAAATCCATAGTTTATGTCCAAGTGTGTAGACTGTATCTAGATAGATAGATAGATAGATCGATAGATCGATAGATCGATAGATAGATAGATCGATCAATCGATAGATAGGCGTTTTTCTTTCAGCCCAAAAATGGGATGTCCTGTTGCCACTTTGGTTTACCGTTTTGCCGTAGAAACTGGTCGAAATATATATGCCTGAGCATCCATGCCAGCATGGGATTGGACGACTCCTCGGCCTGCCAGCATGGATTTTTGGATGGATTGGTGTTTTGGATTTTCAGATATCCCATAGATATCCCATCCAGGGAATCATTGATGCTAAAAAAACCAAGAATTGAGCCATCAACCCAAAAAAAAATCCAGCATAGGGGATTCAAGCGGTTCAAATTTCAAATTCCGGGTTGGTGCTGTTTTGAAAGCCTTGGGGCTAGATCCCAGACCTCAAAATTTCGTCAGAGCACGGATCTAAAGCAACCAAACTAGTCACGCAAGACTCCAAGGTACAGTTTATTTTCCAAATAATGTTCTTTTCAAACATTGACATTTTTGGAGGACCAGCTGTGAAAAAAAGTGCACCGGAGGCCACTTATTTTGCCGTGACCAAGGGGCAGAGGCTCCACTCATGGAGTTTTCTGAGCCAAAGAATCCACCCATTCCTGGATTTGGCGCTGGAAAGAAAGGCATCCCACTGGATTCACTGGCCTTACAAACATGAACTAAATAACTAACTAACCCCAACCCCCTCTGATCCGAGAAGCCTTCAAAAGGCGCAAAATAATGTGTATATATATATATACACAGTATATTGTGTGTGTGAGATAGACATGTAATCCACAAATGTCCTATCACGCCATTTCTCCCACCTCCACTTGTCACATTACCAGGTGGCCAAGGTGAGATATGCCAATTGGCGGATGAACCTATCTGATCCCACTTGCATGTATCAGAAACATTGCTATCATCTTCAACAAATCCAGGAAATACAACCCCCTGCCCAGCCGTTCACTCCCCACCCCCAGCACCCCCAGTCGCAATGGAGGCCGAACTGCCAGCGTCTCCTTGATTAGCATTGGCCATGGCCATCTGCTTGAAGAAATTGGCTGAGGCACCTCGGGTGAGAAACATAAAACGGGCATCCCATGACATAGTGGCTCGTTTTTGCTGCGAAAAATAGTAAGCACATAGTCTTATCGCTTTTGTTGGGCTCAAACCTTTCGGAAAAATGGAGTGAAAATCTTGAAACATCTAAAAACCAGTCAACCCCATGCGGGCTAAAAAGTATCCTAAAATCATATTACACACATGACATGATTCGATGTGAGCGCATCGCACACTTGCAAATGACCCCAAATGCCTACGAAATCAATGAAACAAGCATAGGCTTCCACTTCCCGAGTTTTGGTTGATGGTCTTTCGAAAATTTACAGTACAAATTATAGATTATTGTGCCATATTCATCCATATTCTACCCATTTTCCATCCCATCCCCCTATTTTGCCACCCAACTCCAACTCCACCGAGACGCTCCCAGCGCTCTCCTCCCGCTCCGGCGATGGCGCCATTGGCCGTTGGGAGCTGGCACTGGATGCGCCGGAGGCGTAGGGCCTTGGGCCCAGTGGCCCCAAGAATGATGGGACTTACCCTCTGGTAAATTAACAGTTGGACCCCGAAAATCACCAATTTTTAGAGGAAACTAATCTTCCAACCCCAACAACTACCAGGGTCTATGTTAATTTACTGGAGGGTAATGATCCTGGGATTTTTTCTGGGGGATTTTTCTGGGGGATGTTCTGGAGAGATTGAATGGGGATCCGAAAATCCGACTCGGCAAATCTTTTTTTGGAATACTGAAGATACACTCCCCCGAATTTAACATCGAAGACTACCCTCACTATCTATTTGTGTGGTTGTTGCGGTTATGATGACCATTATCAGTGTCCTTGACATTACATCCCATTACTTTATCACTGTGGTGATCATCCACGGACCTTGTGCACCAGTGCACCATTCATGGCACATGACTCGGCAATAATATCTGTTGGATCAACCATTCAAGCAATGTTCTATGTCCCAGGAATACTTCATTGGGGATTGGAGACATCTATCCTAGCCATCAATCGGGCCACGCATACAAGATCGCTGAGATTAGACATGTGTAATTGAAGTTTAGCCGTCTACATTGAGGTACTTGCCAGTGTCAACTGATTCAAAACATTCTTGGGATTGCTTCGATTGCCGTTTCACCTTTCCATCTTCGTGAAGTTTTCTAAACCCCCCGCACGTCACAGAGCTAAGCCGCGTTTTAACCGAATCTTCAACCAACAGTTTGGCAAATTGTGATGTCAAACCGAAAAGCTTGAGAAAAACTCCTGTTTCAAACCAACACATCGAATACATAGAGCAGAAGAAAACCATGCCAAAATGGCAACATCTTTGGTTTTAGCCTCTGGTAATTTAACATAGCTATGGGAAATCACCACATTTTTAATGGGAAAATCCACTATCAATGGCCATTTCCAATAGCTTTTTGTATGTTTACCAGGCCGGGTAGCTGTGATCTCCTGACGACCCCTAAGCCACCCCCATTCCACCGGTGTACCGCTCGTGGCTCATGTCGTCCCAGGAGGTGAAACCGCCACCAGAGGCGACCTGTTTTAGCCATGATGGTCTGATGGATGATGGTGAAGAATGTTAAAAATCATTATGTTAGACATATATATATATATGCATGTATGTGTGTGATATAGTAGATTCTAGATATATGATAGTAGATATCTGACGGTACTCATGGATTGACATGGATTGACTAAACATTCTGGATGTTGCGGATTTCATGATTTGAGATTGATTTAATCAGCCATTGTCTTTTTATGTTCAATGATTCTAACGGATTATGTTGATCTATTGTATGTATATATAATATATAATATATATCATATAATGGGGAAACTGTGGTGAATTTTGATATCTATCTATCTATCTATCTATCTCTCTCTCTCTCTCTCCCATCAGGTCTTCTTGCTGGGGCTCCCAATTTTGAATGATTTTATTTCATATATCTTCCAAGAATACAATGGGGCACGGCGGTGTCCCCATCAAAGAGCAATTCATTGCGCGGCACGTCGAGGCACGTCTCCGCCCGGCGGCACGCCCGGTGGCAACGCCACACCAGGACCGAAGGCGAAGGAGTCTTCCTGGTGCCCAGGGGATCTGCAGTCAAATCTCCAATGGGTTAACATTTTAATGCAAGTTGTACGAGAAAACCATTGATTTTTGATGATCTTTGCCATTTTTTGGCATGATTGCAGCATAACCCCAAAATGGATAGTTTATATAATTTCGGAGTACCCCCATTTTAGGAAATCTCCATACAATTTGGGGGGGAGTTCCGGCATTTTTTTCGCGCAAAGCAATCTTGCAAGTGGAAAATGTATGAAAATGAGGGTGCGTGTCTGGGTTTGGTCTGCGACCCCAGGAGTCCAGCTTAAAATTCTTCAGAAAACTAAGAACTACCAATGTTGGCCCATGGGTCCACCTTGGAGTTCGCCAAATTTTGGTCCTAAAAACCGGTTTTTGTGGGTGAAGTAGGCCGCATGACACTCCTGGGCTGCAGCCAGTGCAGCTTTGGCGGCGCGTTGCGTCTCCTCCTTTTCCTGCTTCCTCAGCTGCAGATGGATCAAACATGCAGCACAATGCTTGGAACCACCTATGGTGGGTCACATGATGTCAAGTGGAAAAAGGTGGAAGTGCACAACACTAATTCAGTCATGTCTTATCTACCTGAAGAATTAGTGCTTTTCACACCAAAGAGCTGGTATGGCTGAATGTTCATACAGAGGAAAACGAGATGAAAATTGCGTTTAAAAAATGTGGTTGACTAATTTGGGGGTACTGTTTTAGTTTAGTAGCAAATTATCATTGGGGGGTACCCAATCAAACAGAGTTTCTTAATCCAGCGTTGACATTACCAACTACGCCACACAGTGATATCAAGAATTAAAACAGAAATTAATTCATTGTAAATTGTAACTCTTGTTTTTACTGCTCTGTTTCTTCATGCGGAGATCTGAGGAAACCAACAACCAACCCAAGCTGCCAGCTACTGCTCCTTCTCTTGGAAAATATCTTCGTTTATACATGGGTAAGCGGTCACCCAAACAATGGCCGGAGTTGATCCGTGACTTCAAGCGGCTTCCGAGCTTTGGCCTCCTGCTGGCTCTCTTTCCGCGCTTCTCGACGTTCGATCTCCAGATCCACCTCTTTCTGCAGGTACTGAAATCTCAGCACCTGGCGGCCGCTGATGGGATGGGATGTTGATGGATTTGTAATATAATGTAATATACGTATTTTGAGGACTGGAAGTTCCAGAAGTTCAAGCAGAATATGCCAGAATGAGCCTGGGAGGTTTCGGGGGAATCTTGGGAAGTTCAGAGGTGTTGGGAGAAACAAAACCTTCATGCGTTTGGGCGCTGGGCTGTTCTTTGGGGTTACTTTATGGATCTTTGTGGCTGCTGGACCCTATGGCTGGCACTCAGCGCGTCCACAACATGTCCCCATTTTTTGAGAATATCTTGGCAATTCGTGCCTGAGTGTAGCTGGCCCGCACGTCGCTGGCACTGTATGGCCCACGCTTCTTGATGCCTGTGGTAGCTGATGCTGTTTGCAGCAAAAGATAGAACTTCCAATTGAACAACAAGAGTGTTTCTGAAACCGAGGGACTACCAAAAAGAAAAGGTAGCCTCCCAAATTCTACCTCTTTTGCCAGACTTTTAGCACCCCCCTCTTTCATCTGGACCCTTCCAGAAAACTCAGTCAGACTTGTGGCTAAGGTGCCCATGACATTGCTGTGGTAGTTCTCCTCCATTTTCAAATCATGCTTCCGCTGATTCAAATCTTCCATCGACAATTTCTGGAGATTCTGGGGCTTTGTCCTTGGGCAGGGCCACCGGCTGACGAGTTCAGGTTGTGTCTGGGCCAACGGTTGCATCCACTCTTGCAACCTTGCCTAAAGTTATTCGAGACATTTTCTGCACGTGCACCTCGTCACCCAGGCTACCGGTGTCGCCTCTGGGAGCATGGGAAGCTATATACATATTATAAGAAAGGAACCTAGGTCCCCTTTTGCAGCCTAACAAAATTCCACCACCTGTTCCCACCCCAGCCAGATCACATGAATATTGACTCATCGCCAATAAACCCGTGCATTGGGTCATGTCGATTGGAGGTGCGTTTTCGATGCATTTTGCACCCGGTTTTTGGGTCCCTCCCAAAATATGCCCAGGGCAGGAAGGTGTGAGTGTGGTTAGATCCTGACTGGGTGGCCATAGCCTCAGCTGGAGTCATGGAATTCATGGAATCCCCATGGGATTCCCATGGGTACAATCAAAATTGTCCCTTGAACCACTTCTGGCACATCCTCAGCACCAAGCGTCTTCTTGGGCCGTGGCACCTCATCGATCTCCTCAGCGCTCAGAAGCCAACAAAAATCACCTAAAATCTCTTGTCAAAGGCACCTATTGGTCAACGAAAGCATGGAGCCTCGCACATTTTGCCATGCTTCCCACAGGTCAGCCGAGGTGCTAAGCCACTGGCCACCGCACGCCGCGGTGCGCCCTGCTTGTCGTTGCTGCCAAGGCCCTTGGGGGCGATATAGTCGCCGCCTGAGATGGCTTGATTTAAAGGAAAATCTACTGGAAACCACAGGTTGTGCCTTGAAATGGAGGGGGTCCTGCAAATTGTCCCATCATCCAATTCTGGGATTTCAGCCCCTCCAAGACCCTTAAGCCTTAAACCAAGCAAAATGGATGTACCGTACTGAACCATACATGATCTGATCCCCTCGTCTCCACCCTTCAGCACCCCTCAGTACCTCCATCATCTCCAAATTGTCGCTTCTTGCCCATGGTGCCCCGGGGGCTGCAAATATTCAGGTGCTTGAGCCAGTCACAAGAATGCAAGCATTGCCATTGCCAAGTGCGACTACCCACAGGGCACCCCTGGTGTGTTTGGAACGGTGGTTCCAACTTCCAACTGTTTCTAGGCTAGTTGTGTGTTACCCTTGGACAGGATAGCAGCTTTGCATCACATACGCTGTCAGCCCCAGAGCTTTCGATACCAAAAACGACTCATGCGAACCATGCAAACCCATATCGGGCACCAAAAAGCCAATAGGGCCAGTACTAAACCAGGATATGTCTAACAGATAAGTGATGTCCTACCAGGTCCTACCATATTCAGTAGTAAATGTCTGACAGAAAATAGTGATGTCCTACCATACTTGTAGGGTCTTTAATCACCATTTTTATAGATGGCATTAACCAATAATAGGTGGTACATTCACCATATACCCATGATATTAGTGATATAATAGTAGTGAATAGTAGTGATATATCCCAGATTTATCCATATTTACTAAAAAGAGTACCCTCTGGTTATGACTAACATAGCCATGGTATAGATGACCCATAGAAATAGATGGTTTACCTATTACACATGGTGATTTTCCATGGCTATGTTAAATGACCAGATGGTACATTAACCATATACTGTATATACTCATGATATGAGTGAATAATAGTAGTGAGATATCCCAGATTTATCCATATTTATATGAGTGTGTCTGAAAATAGTGTATCCCTTTTTACCCAATGGTTTTGCTGATCATTATCCCGTTTTTAAATGGCTATTTCATTGGAATTTTCCCTATTTTCAGACAAACCCATATACTAAAAATAGTAGAAGTAAACTAAGTAAACCCCCCCATCCAGATGGTCCTGCTGCTCCACCAGTCTGCGGACAGGGGCGCCAGTGCCTTGGCACGGACGAAGCGCGTTTGGTCCTGCCGTTTTTTTCCCGGAGAAAGATGGGAAAAACCTGGGAAAACCCGGGAAAATGCAGGAAAAACGTGGGAAAAACATGTTTGAATGGGAAAGAATCATAAGTTCTTGTCAGTTCATCAGTTAATGGGTAAAAAGATGGGAAACTACCATTGAGAAATGGGAGAATCGGGATTCTAAATGAGAAAACCAGACTTCTTGAGGGGAAAATCATCGTTTCAAGTAGGTAAAGTGGGAAACGTCGTGAATTGTCTGACATTTGGCACATGGAGGTATGGTCGATCGCACATGGCCAGGTTGGACGACTGGTAGGTCGTAAACTGGATTGGTGGCATTTCCGGGGATCAAGGTCCCATCATTACAGGTTTGCTGGAAAAAACAATGGGTTCCAACGAAGAAGCCCAATGCCGTATCTGTACAAGGCCTATGGCTTTGCTGGCGGGCAAAGCATAAACAGTAGGATCATGAGGGTTTCAAATTTGGGGCCAAAGGTGCCTGTACTGTGCATCCGTTCATGCTTTGCCCATCAGAACTTCCACAGAACCAAGCAAAGTGCAGAGTCACTCCTTCTTTTCTGTGCAGCTCACATTCTCTCACATACTACCGAAGTTTTCGCTTCCAAAAGCAGACGCTCTCCACGTGGCCTTCAGCTGCCTCGTCGCCAGCCGCAGGGGCCGATGTCTTCGTATTTCGCTCACGAACACGCAGCCCAAGTAGGAGCCAATGCAGCAGCAAGCTTCATCGGCTTCTGCTTGGGCTGCATCTTCCTGAGCCAAGATTGTGAAACTCTAATTTGATCCAGTTGAGTTTCAATCGTGCCAAATGGAAGTTGGCAGCGCTTCAACCACCCTAGTCTCCTTTGTAGCAGATTCTCGTTCCACAGAGATGTTTGATGATTGTTGCTGATTGAAATTCACAAAGGAACCTGATGCGTCCATGATCCAAGAAGCAAAGACTCTGCCTCGGGTCGAGGCAAGGCCTTTGCTTCTTAGATCATGCATGCAGGGGGCCGCTTCTGGATGTGTATCAACTTCGGATTGAGCTGCTTCTTCCACTGTCCTTAGAGATGCATCCCTCTGGATCTCCAATTTTGCATCACCTTGTTGAGAGGTCATCTCCGTGAGTTTCCAGGAACTCCAAGCAATCACAATGGACCAATTATGACCAATTGGTCCCCAAGTATCTGGCTTGCAGCTGTACCAACATGAATGCGTGATGCAAATGGGCTCTCATGAAGTTGTCAGTTTCTTCACTGGCGTGCGCATCAAAAACCAGCTGCTAATCAACAGCTGCTCCGAACCTTTAGCGTCTCCAGTCAAGGATGAGTTCATCCTTTCTCCCGTCCGCACGGCCTCAGCTAAGAAACGCATGATGTCAGGCCTTTACAATTGCGCTCACCACAGATCTTTCTGCACTTCTTGCAGTGCCACAGATTGTTGTCTGGAAAATCATGTTGGCTAAACCCGTGGTTGGTCTCGGCAAAAAAAAAAAACTACACTGTCTTTGAAGTGTCCACTAATCAGGGGGTTCCCTCGCTGTGTAGAACTTCCCTGGGAACGAGACCCAGCAAATTTTGGCATTGGGATCAATTTTTCGGAAGCTAATTGCTTAGCTATTTCCTCTAAGGGAAGGAATGAAGGACTCTCAAAGGAGACCAACACGCTTCACTTCACTCTAAATAGAATGAAGTGAAGCGTGGTGGTCACCTTTGGAGTGGAGATTCGCAGTGATTCACTCTCCGTAAACATTGACTTCGGCTAGTCTTCGGAGTTCCGCAGCTCGTGGCTCCGGCAAATTCCGCGCCAAGATCTTGAGCCAAACAATTCATGGATCGTTGCGCCAGCCAATCAATGGATTGGTTTAAGGGAAAATTTACAGGAAAGCCCCATATTTAATGGGAAAATCTATGGTTTCCTGTAGATTTTCCCTTAAACCAATCCATTGAGCCAAAAAAAAACCGTTAGAAAAATGATGAAAACATGAAAACCAAACTGACAGGAACAGTTCTGAGGTGTTGCAGCTGAATTTTTTGGCTCTCCGCAGCAAATGGGACCACAAGGACCACAGGCAGAATGTGTTTTGACGGCGCAATATCTTGCCTTAAGGATGTTCATCCTCAAAAATGGTATGATAGAAATTGACCCATCGCCACATGCAACAAATGTGGCAACAAAAACTATGCCAACTATGCCATTCACCAAGGTTTCAGTGGACTGGGATGGATGGGCCTGGCTCGGCCACGCTGCTTCTTCAAATTCACTTCCGCCTGTCGTGGGACCAGGAGCTTTCAGACGTGTCTGACCACAAATTGAGCCCCAAAGAAACTGGCAAACAAAAACAAGACATCTATATATCATCACTATACTCTATTAATATATGTATGTATATACAGTACATATGCATGTGCGCGTGTGTCTGTACTGTATTGTAGTCACTCTGACGCTGGTTTCCTGCAAAGCTCGGATGTGCAATGCAACCTGAGCCATCCAACATGGAACCCACTGAGCCACTGCAGCCCAGAAGCGGGCAGGGTTGGGCTCGATGCCCAGCTGCTGAAACGCCCGTTTTTTCGGCTCAAAAGCAGGTCCTTCTGCGCTCGTTGTAGCCTCCCGAGCTTGGTGCTGAGGTACGTGTGAGATGTTGTTGGAGCTGTTTGAACCCCCAACTGTTGCAATCCTTCCAGTGATATGTTTTCAAGTTTCACCCCATTGGCAACTTGTTTCAATCCGAGAAACTCAGCTGCTCCACCACCAGAAAAATAAAATCTCTGACGTCCATGGTGCTGCTTTCGATGTCCTCACTGGGCTCGACCTGCGTTGAAATGCGTGAAATGCTGCGAAAAACGGTGAATGAAGCCTTTTTTCCAGGGCATGCCGGCCTCAAAATCAATAGACAAATGGAAGGGTTTTGAAGCTCGCCAAAGCTTGTAGGAAATGAACATTGTGGGGGAGCATATCTCCCGGAATTGCTGGGTAAAATCAAATCTTTGCCTATTGATATCCCCACTTTTGGTTCATATCTGATTTTATCCCCGTTTCTTTACAGAGTTGCTGGTTCGTCACCCATGATTCATCAGCAATTTCTCCGTTTTCCGTGTGCCAAGCACGGAGGATAAAGGGTCCATGTGGCCGGCACCTCCAGTGCATGCCGAGGCCGCGAAGGTAACCTTCGATCAGTGGCCCCAAGCAACACATCGGCAGTGGGAAATCGATAGCTATTCGGGTCTGTTGATTTTGGTAGACAAACATATCAACACTTTTTGTTCCGTTGCTTTTATTTCTGCATCTGTTTGTGAAGCCCACGTTCGTCACACTACTAAGAGTGACTTCTGGTGGTTGAATATTCGCCATCCCTGCCGCTTAGATCCTGAAATCTCCAATCTCCATACTGGTCATCTAGATTTGGGTCAGAAGCCTACAATCCACTCAAAAAACGTTGCAGGTCACCAAACAATAGATGCCAAAAAAGTCTGACTGGTATAAAATGTAAGTTATATATAGTATTATATATATATATATATATCTATCTATCTATCTATCTATCTGGTTTCGGGTTTCGATCGGTCCTGGGGAAGGTAAGTCTTCAGAGTCGGTTTCGGGTTTCGGGTTTCGGGTTTCGGGTTTCGATCGGTCCTGGGGAAGTTATAAGTCTTCAGAGTCGGTTTCGGGTTTCGGGTTTCGCAGTTCGAAACCAACTTTAACAGTCGGCTTCGGGTTTCGGGTTTCGGGTTTCGCTGGTCGAAACCAACTCTGCAGACCTCTCTCCGGATCACGTCTATCTATCTATCTATCTATCTATCTACCTATCTATCTATCTCTATATCTATACAATGTGGGGCCCCCAAGATAGCTAAGTTGGTTTATAACTACAGTAACTAGGGTTTATGGTAGTTATAACCATAGTTAGATGGGGTTATAAACCAACTTATAACTAGGGGGCCCCACATTGTATCTATATCTCTATCTCTATCTCTATCTATCTATCTCTACCTCTATCTATCTATATATCTATCTCTATCTCTATCTCTATCTCTATCTCTATCTCTATCTCTATCTCTGTCTGTCTGTCTGTCTGTCTGTCTGTCTGTCTATCTATCTATCTATCTCTCTCTCTATCTCTATCTCTATCTCTATCTCTATCTCTATCTCTATCTCTATCTCTATCTCTATCTCTATCTATCTGTCTGTCTGTCTGTCTATCTGTCTGTCTGTCTGTCTGTCGATCTGTCTATCTGTCTATCTATCTATCTATCTATCTAATCTAATCTAATCTAATCTAATCTACTAATCTAATCTAATCTAATCTACTGATCTAATCTAATCTAATCTAATCTAATCATCTAATCTAATCTAATCTAATCTAATCTAATCAATCAATCAATCAATCAATCTATCTATCTATCTATCTGCGCGTGATCATGTATGTATGCGTATGTATACGGTATACGTAATCATTTTCCAAACGGGTTCTACTCCCGGCCCAGATGGTTCCAAGGAGCCCGTGCTGTTCTGGCTGCCATTTTCCCCCCTCAGTGGGGCATCGTCGCTCAGGTGACACAACTCAGCAGCACCAGGTCAAGCCTCGCCTGTGTGAAGCCACTCCTCAGCATTGAAGAGTGAAACAATATGGGTTTGTCTGAAAATAGTGTACCCCTAAACCCAATGGTTTTGCTGATCATTATCCCTATTAAATGGCTATTTGTTTGGGAATATACCCAATTTTCAGACAAACCCATATGAAACAATGCGTAAATGAGTGGTTGGCTGCGTGGAACCGACTTGGCGGTGGAACTTCCACCATTTTCAAAGAAATCCGTCACGCTTCAACGGCCATCGAGAAATCATGTCAACCCCGGATTTTGCTAAACCATGGTTTATTAATTGGGGGGGGTACTCCTCCAATAGTCATTATCTGATACTTAAATGGTACCCTCCCAATTAAACAGCCGTTTGGGGTTTATTAATCCAGGGTTGACATTACCTGAAATGAATGTTCCAGTTGTCCTTAACGAGTTGCACCCACGAAACTTCTCCGCCAAACCCCTCAGCCACGAGTCTCTGCAGAGTTCTGGCCCCGCACACCTGAGGCAACAAAGCTCAAGAGGGCACCACTAACTCAACCAGCTCACCAAGCTCACCCTGTTGCTGGCCTGGTCGCGTCTCCTCCGTCTCCTTGTCTTCCCCTCCTGCGGTTTCACACATGTTCACTTGGGATCTGCACAAATCTCCGGCCCTGCCTTCAGCCATGGTGGAAGTTGCAAGTGGTACCTGGCCGCGGTGGACCGAGTGAAGGGTTGATGCCAACGGCTGCAACCATGGCAGAAACCTCTTTCATTTGTATGAGTTGATATTTGCCCTCACTCACGCTTTGGAAGGGGGTTCTTCTCACAAGATCTCTCCCAATCTCTTTCGTTGGGTTCACCCTGTGTACAGTCAGATGCATCGTTTGGCGCTCAGTCACCCGTGGGTAATGGGCGAGAAGGCAGCAGCCAAAAATGTGTGAGTTCATATTTGCCCTCCAGAAATCAATATCAGTTGAGGGAGAGGGAGAGAAGAAAAAAAGAAACAGAAGTGAATGACGTTTCTACGCCAATTCTGCCGCTCACATTGCCCAAGTAGGCTTTTAGGTTGGTTTGATCCATTTTCACCAGCTGTGTTTGATGTTTGGATGAACTCATCCGCACCTCCCGCCCTCTCGCGGCAGGTATTGCGGAGGCGGCTGCACCGCTAAGGTCATTGCATGCAGCAACTTCGCAAAAGGAACGGCATGGAATCGCTTCCTCTTGCATTTCTTGACTATAGCGGCTATAGGTTCTACTATTGAACATTCAATTGGGCATGGGGCTGTTGCGTTTCACGGGTGCTTCTCAAACTGTTTGGTGTTGTCTGGTTGTCGGCTTTCATGCTGCAGCGTGACTAGGTAAAGATATGCCAGACAAACTATTGGGGCAGTTTGTGGACCTGACGAAAGCTCTCAAGGAAGTAACGCCCCGATCCAAGACTACAGACAACTTCGTAGAGACTGACAAGATCGCGGGGCCAGGCGCAAAGGCATCATACTATCAACCCGGATGTCAGCCACAGCACCGTTACAATTTGTCATGCCCTAACTGCCATCCCCACCCACTCAATCACTACTGGTACCATTGAGGATTTGCGCTTCTTGGGCGTGCCAGTCCCAGCTTTTTCACACCTCCGTGTCCGGCTCCAGGGAGCTGTGGTCCCGTTTGGACCGCCCCTTATCGCGCCGCACCAGGCTGGGCCCACCAAGCGACAGCGACGACACCGGAGAGCTGCTTGAGGTCACCAGTTCCACCAGCTCCACATGGGGCCAACTCTCAAAGCGCGCGCAGCCCCACATCACCAGCAGCGTCAACAGCCAGTGCAGCAGGAAGTTCTGGATCGCCGGGATGCGTGACAAGCCACGGAGCCTGGAGATTTGGGGGAAATATGGTGGAGACCCGAAAAAGGGAAAAAAAATCCGGGATGGTGTACTATGGTCTACTATGGTCTACTGCCATAGGAAAGCAATGAATCTCATGAAATTTGAATTGTTTTTCATCATTTGACTGCCGCACCCTTCCAGACTTCAACCAACACATCACTATTTTTCATCCGCCAAGGGACTGGGAAGCTTTGCTGTTTCGTTTCTCGGGAGCATCCAACATGCTGTCCTCGGCGGCGCACCCGAACTGCACGTCTGCGATGTCCCCAATGGTGCCCGAAAAGGCTGAGAGCGCCCCGCAGAAACCTTGGGAAAATCTGGACGGCGCATGTCAAAGTCGTCCACTTACCTCCAAGCACCCTGGCGCCGAAGATGATTCCCCGAAGTCATGAAGTCAAAATCATGGTTTAACCAACTGAGTTTATGACCTATTGCCGCCCAACTCCTTCCAACGACGATTCCTCAACCAAGAATCTGCTCACAAACTTTGATCGTAGAAAGTCGCTGCTGGTACGAAGAGGGTTCTGCCCCTCTGCTGAGTCAACTGCTGCATCAATCCCCTGAGTTCAACTGGAATGCTTTCCACAGATTCCCCAGGAAACTCTCCAAGAAAGTCATCCCAAAATCGTACGCGTTCCACTTTCAAACACATCCATCTAAAGATGAAGCTACCTCTAACATCCTCTACTCTAACCTGAAATCAGACTCCAAGCTTCTCACTAATCCATAACAATCTATTCCCCCCAATGCTAAAAACACCAAAAAAAGCCTCCCGTAGTACCTTTCCTTTCATGGATCTATTATGATCTATTCTTATCATCCCAGTGGCTCGTGCCGTGTAGGCCATCAGAGATGCTGCCAGGTTCACCAGTAGCCGCGCGGCGGGGCGTTCGTGGCTTTCGAAGCGACCACAGAAAAACGTCGCCAGCGCCGCGCCGCAGACGCTCATCACGATACCGCAGAGCCTGCGGCTGGGAGGACTTGGGAAAGTCGCCTCGAATCCATCGTGGGCGATGGGAAATCCCCTGTTTTTCTTGGAGGCTTTAATATCTTTAATGGGAAAATCATCAAATGGCGAATTGCCACATTTGAGCACAGGAGAGTAAATACGCATAGTTGTTGTAAGCAGACATAGCTCTGCAAACTGTTTCCACAAAAGGAAAACACTGATGCTGTGCAAGATGCAATCCAATGATGAAGGGAGGGCATTCAAAGATGACCCAACCATTGTACCTCAGTCTGGCAAAAAGTAATGTGCTTAAAACCAAAGAACTACCTGGAAGACAAACTCTAGAGATTCTCATGATCATGGTAGTCCAACGACGATTTTCCCAGGAGAAGCCTCAAGCATCTGCAACATCAACCAGGTTCCCTGGAAAATCCGCAGGGCCGTAAAACCATTTAAAACTTGTGTTTCAGTGTTTGAACATCAATTTTTGGTCTAAACCATCCTCTCCGGGTCCAAACCCAGAGTTTGCCTCTTAAATCTCCATTGTTTCCATCTATTTTTTGTGGGATCTTCCAATCTTGACCAGTTGATGCCCAGCTGCTGCAGCTTTGGCAATGCCAGGTTGGGTCTGAGTTCGGGCTCGGACATGTCCAGTGGCAGGGGAGGCAAGGACTCCCCACGCAGGGCCAAGGAAATGAAGGGCCTCCCAAGCATGGGCCTGGGAAGCGGCAGGGATCTATGAAATATCTGTTTCTGAGCATTCACATGGGCTTGTCAGCAAACAGCGTACCCCCAAATCCAACAAATGGTGTTCGGTTTTCCCATTGTTTATCTGTCTGTCTGTCTGTCTGTCTCTGCCTGTCTCTGTCTGTCTCTGTCTGTCTCTGTCTGTCTGTTTGTCACTCATATCTATCCATCCATCAAATCCAGCCCTATCTACTTATCTATTCATCCATCTGTCCGGTCTGAACCCCAGAACTCAAGCCAAGTCTCAGGAGAATGGCCAAGAGCACCGTGGCCCGGGCAAATTTCTGCCAGGCCTCGGCGAAGCGAAGGATGGCAGGCCACTCGCGCTTGAAACAGAGGCGTCCAGTGCGACTGCCCCAGAGGTAGAAAAGGAGGCCTCAGCCGTTAGCCACGGCTGGGATCCCGAACATCGACTGGTCCGGTTGGAGGAAAGCAGCTAAAACTAAGATAACTAAGGCATGTTCGGACTTAGCCGTTGGTGATGATGGATTGGACCCCTTCTGATCGGCACAAGCTCGGGGAAGTACAAAGAAAATGTGTTGGCCTGGACCTCAATACAGCATCAAAAAGAACGCATCTTCAACTGGTTTCAAGCAAACAATTCTGAAAGTCAATCGGAAGGGGCCCAGCAGCATGTTGGAGAAGGAAAATATGGCTCCAAACCACAAGGAGTTCAAGCCCAGTGGAAGGCCGCTAGCACTTCCTGATACTCCAGGGAAAGAGGTCGCCACACTCAGCGCACCGGCGCTGAAGGCCTCCGCCGTCACGAAGACCAACAAATGATCTTTCTGACTCCACCGAATGGTCTGCGACAGCAGTCGTGTCGCTTTGAAGAATCCTCAACTGCACAGCAAAGGACTAGACTCATCTGATTTGAGCATGGATAAGGACCAAACAGTTAGAGTATTGCCCAACATGTTGGTTAGGTGGTCACCAAAAATAGCCCAACATTCATGGGTCAAGCAGTCTTCAAGAGCCGTTCAGCGACCCAGCCTTCCAGAAAAGTGCCCCCCAAATTCATGGCCAACGTCAGCAGGATCAGCAGCCACTCGGATGGTGGCTGCCACAGCCCCGCATGGCGAGAACAGACCAAGGAGGGCAGCACCAAATTCAGAACGACTTCGGCAGCTGCTGCGCTTTCTACCAGCGAGGACCAAAAAATATCCTAGGGCGGCTGGGTGAAGGAGATCTGGATCAAAGTGTGGCCACCGATATCACCGATATGCATAAGTAATTTGGTATATCACATATATATATATACATACATACATAACCCTCTCTCTCTAAGATCTCTAAGTACAAATGGAGAAATGGATGGATAGATAGATGGATTAGATTGGTATGAGTATGAGGATGGGTATTAGGATTATATTCATTAGATTAGACTAGATTACATGAACAATTGCGATTAAATTAGATTGGATTTGCTTAGACGGCTTAAATTGGTATTCGCATCAGAATTCGTTTCAGATTAGATTACATCGGATACAAACAGATATACAGCCCTTTTCCGGTAAGATATTTCGGTTCGTTTTATATTGTGGACAAAGGCTTTTGGATGCTGGAAACATCACCAGGAAGCTTCAGCCCAAGCTGCTCTGCCAGCCCTCGCTAGGACTTTAGGATGCTCATTGGTATCGTCCTCGATGTTTGGAAGCTTGATCTCCTGCAATCCCAAAGGAAGAACAGAAACCCAAAATCCACCAACCTTTGGAAACTCAAACTTCAAGGATTGAGGAACTCAGGCAGTAACCCACTCTTGAGCACCTTTGCCACCGGTTTGGCTCAACACAAATGACCCCGTTGTGGGTCAACGGTTCCTTGGGTCCATGGGGTCCATCTTCCACTCGGTCAAAGTAGGAGCTGTGAATCACGTTGGCACCTTCAACCAAGGCTGCTCAGGAAAATGGGCATGTGACCCTGCCAAATTCATATGTCATACCTTTATAATATATATATATAATGTAATGTAATGAATGTATATTGATGAATATGCATGCACATATGTGTGTCTATATGTACGCCAATCTGAATAATAAAGGTGCAGTATTTTCATGGTGATGTACTGTTCTGCCCCATACTACCCTAAGAGTGGTTTGACCAGGTTGCTGATTGTCTTGGGACCCATGTCTTGGAGGCACTGTGACAAAACTCAAATCTGCCTGGACTTCTCAGGTTTGGCTGTCCTGCTTCTCAAATTGCTCCATTTGCTGCCAGCAAAATATGATATTATATGACTAATACTAATATTACGCGCAAACCCCCCAGTTCGCCCACACAACTGTTAAGGGGATATTGGAGGGAGCGTTAAACTTTACATTCAAAGGGAACATTCAACATGTTCTAACAGAGTTTCTAGGAAACCATAAAATCCCCACTCCTGTTAAACTTTACATTCTCAGGGAATATTCAACATGTTTCAACAGAGTTTCTAGGGAATCATCAAATCCGCACCCCTGTTGAACTTTATATTCAAGGGAATGTTCAAGGGGTTTAGGGTTTTAAGGGTTAAGGGTTTAAGGTTGATGATGATGATGATGATGATGATGTAACATTCAGCGCACAGGTAGCCTAAGCTGTGCGTTTCAAGATGAAAGCCAAGATCATGGACATGTGCATTTTGTCCCGCAAAACACAGTGTTGTTTTGATATTTGGAGACGTCGTCGACGTAGGCGCGAGCAAACTGGGGGGATTGCCGTAATATTACTAATGTGGCAAACCCAAAGATAGATTATCCCAATCTTACCAGGAATAGGTGGTAGATAGCCATCCCCAATGTGAGGTTTATGGCATTGGGTTGTTCCACATGATATACAGATTGTATTAAGAAATTGCTAAGTTGCGTTGCCCATTCACCTCCTTGGGATCATCCAAATTGGTTCCCTTTTTTTCACGGCTAATCCCCCATACTTTGCTGGTGGAAACCTCCATATTTTTGGAAAGTTCAATCCAGTCAAAGTCCCTATTTTTCATATTTTTTGATGCAACTATCAGAGTTCAATCCGGTTGAATCAAGTTGAATCCCCACACATTTGCCTGGCTTTAAACAATTTAAAACATTCTTTGAAGATCTTTGAATCACATTTTTTTTGCATTTTGGGACGGTCAAATCGGTTTCGCCTTGGAACTCTTCGCTCTCCCAGCTCTCCGCGCGCGACTCCTCGCGTTCCTCGGACCTCGACCTCCGCCGCGGGAGCGGCGCGGAGCCATGGTGCCCGGCGTGCCCGGAGCCGTCGTCCATGGCGACGTCAAAGATCTGTGAGTTCTGTGAGTCAACATGATTTCATAGGATTTATATGAATTTATATGATTTATCTGGTTTAAATTGGTTTTAATTGGTTTTAATTGATTTTAATTGATTTTAATTGATTTTAATTGATTTTAATTGATTTTAATTGATTTTAATTGATGTTAATTGATTTTAATTGATGTTAATTGATTTTGCAGTGTTGATCGGATGATTGATATTGATTGATCTATTTAACTTTAAGCTTCGTTGACATAGTTGGTCTTTAGATGGGAGGGACTGCAGGTTTTTTGGTCGGTTGCTGACTCCTTACTTGTAGTCCACGTTCGAGGCCTATAGGTTCTGAGAGTTGGGGAAGTGGGGTGAACTGCCAAGAGATTCTGAGTCCCTGGGGAATTTCGTCATCGAGCCGTGGCACCTACGTCATGATTTTCGCATGCGCTTCGAGCAGCTTACCTATAGGTTCCTGCAGTGGGCTGATGTGTCCCTTAGGTGAAATAGCTCGGAGAGGATGTGCCTTTAGTCCATTCATAAGTCCCATTGTGCTCGGGCAGCTTTGGCTGCAAGGTACCATCCAAGCACCTTCAGAGTGATGCTAATTCGCGACCATAAATTCATGTGCACATGCAAAGGTTACAGACTGAACTGTGCCCCTACTTGAATGACACCTCTTGGATGATCACAGTGATCCCAAACAATAGGAATAACTAAGTATATATATATAAGTTATATAAGTATATCATGGCTCTATCAGCTATATCCTCACATTCATGGGTTAGACCATAGACCAATGGACTCCGCAATTGAAGCCATGGTCCATCGTGGTCCCAAGGAACCCCAAGGAACCCCAAGGATCCAAGGGGTGCAAAATGCAACACCCAGCCCAATGCGCCCTGTCTCAGGCACTGGCACCAATGAAAAACCTGTGGAGCAGTGGTCCCTTCATCCTAATATTGACCATCGTTTAGACACCATGGTTTAGTAGGTAATTGGACCATTTAGGGGGCGTTTAATATAAGGGGACTTGATATTGACTCCTGACATCCAAGGTCTGTTCTGGAAGTTCCGAACTACGTAGTTTCCTTGGTATCTTCCCTTTCTGGTCTCCGGCTGCTAGCCAATTTGGCGGCCGTCGATAGCTAGCTATCGCTTTCCATGTCATGTGGTTAGTGACGATGGGCCAAAGGTGCTGAGAGATCGATGTTCTGACTAGCGAAGGTTCTGCAAAAGAAAATCGCAGCTGATTGTTCGGCTTCCCCCCCACCTTTGCCTCATGCCCAGATCTTTGCATAGGCCATGAGGGCCACAAATCGCCCCATCCCCACTTGAGGCGACGGAACTGCGGACACTTGACATCGGCCATGTGTTGCATCTGCCGTGGGCGAATCAAACTTTGCAAGCCTTGCACAGGCATGATGCTAAGCTGCTATTAAGCTGCTAACCAGCTTGGCTTCTGTTCAGCGAATAGCCGCCGTACCCCCAAGAGAAGCTGTCATCTTTTGTCATGGCCACTTGGTAACAGAGCTCCTCTTGGATCTGCAAGCTCTTTTGGCAAGGTTCTAAATTGAAATCTAGGAGCCATAGACCAAGGGGGGTGTCTTGGAGGACCTTGTAACCCTATCTTGGGGTCTTGTCAGGTACTTATGAAGGCTCTGTTTCACTTATTTCCTCCCTGAAACACGCTGCAGGTGTTCATTTGGGGCCACCCCCTACACAGCAAGATTCCGGACTTTAAAGCCTTCGGATGCCTTCGGCCTACTGCACAAACTCGAAAGCTAATGTGGCGATCGCCAATTTTGCTTGTCCGGACATCCCAGGGGGAGATGTATCTCAACCCCTCGCGCGCATCCGACGACCGCAGGTGGTAAGGAATGCCAGAACACCAGGTTATGACCACACAGTACACCAAAACCTAGACAATAGTCACGCATTAACAGCTTAAAAGAAGACGCATATGCTGGAAGCAGAAACAATCCCGCCAAAACCAAAAACCCAACACTTCAAAAAACCTTAACCAACCAGCAGTTTTCCCCACATCCCCCACCACCTACACCCATCAGCACCTCACCCAGCCAGGGGAATCAGCGGCTCCAACTCTTCCGGCTCTGCCTCCGTGGTCGTTGCCTCGCTGATCAGCTCCCAGCTCCAGCGGTCGGAAACGGACACGGCGTCGTCGCAAAGGGCCTTTGGAGCGGCCGCGGCCGCCTCAAGGGCCAGCTGAGCCGCCTCCCGCACCACCTGACCCACTGCTTTTTGAAGGAGCAAAAAGGGGGGAAAGATCCGGGAGAATGGAGGAAAACTAGAGGAAGAAACGCTGATGGGTGATTTTTGGAAATAGAAATGGGTTGGAAAGGGATAACAATTCGTTGAAAAATGAATGAAAATTGACAGAAAGAGATGGAAAACAGATCGGGTGGTGCTCAAAATGAATGAGCATGGATGAAAAGTGGACGAAGAACATCAGGATTTCTGACGAAGACACACCAGCTGGTCAATTAATCTTTACCAAGCCTTGTCTGGATGCTCAAGCAGTGACATCAGCGCCGTGGCCGCCACTGATGTGTCCACCTGAGCACGTTCCAAACCAGCTGATCCCAATCGATTCTTCGTTGGAATTCCGATATCTACTGGGCTCAAACTATCCAACTATCCATTAAAATTCAATGTACTGACTATCATATAATAGAACTGTCTTTAAAAACATCCAACCAACAGTGACCGGGGTCAACTGTTCACTGCCCACCTGCTCAGCACGCGGGCGCGTGGCTTCTCGCTCGGGTTTCGCATCACCCGCGCAGAAGACACAGAGGTGCCCCACGGAGACGGCGAGGCCACAGCTGTTGCAGAGGATGGTGGGTGGAGCCGAAAGCTCCTCCAGGGCTGTAGGGATGTGGCGGTTCATCCCACAATTTTTAGGCAGTACGTCAGTATTTTTGGCTTATATAGCTTGATATAACTTGGAGGGCGGTAAAGATCACTGGGGATATTCCATACGCATTTTGGATACGACCATGGTTGTGAACCACTTACATCATCTTACATCCACATACTAGCCGGGATGCACATCCAAAGAGGCAAAGCCAGACACCCTACAAGACTTGTCATGGGTGTGGGGCAACAAGTTGGGGAACCTGGTGCAGCCAAGGGATATCTGACTGAAACTCTGGAACTTATGGTGGACACCAATGAATCACTTGCTCTTGTTTGGCATCATCCATCATCACCCCGTGTCCTTCACTATAGCCTCCAGGGTGCACGAGGCATATGCATTGACCTTCTCTTGCATAGAGCCATCCATCTTCTGGTACATCTGAATGGCCAGCTGCAACAGGTCGTCCTTGGGGATCTCCATGCCCGAGGCCAGAGCATTCAGAGGCTGGATCAGTTCTGCCCAATCCTCCTGCCATTGTTTCTGAAGCTCAGCCAACAGCTCCAGCCCTGCTTCCCCAAGTCTCTCCCAGACCCTCTTCAGGTTGAGTCCCTTCACTCGCTTCAGCAACTCATCCATCAGCTCTTCGGCATGAAGCGAAGAGGCTGTTCCCAGCGAAGCAGGGACCACTTGCAACAGCAACACACCGCCCTTGCAAAGGTCCAAGGCATCAGCCATGGAGGGCGCGGTGAGGGTGCAAGAATCTCCTTCCTCATCTCGGTACACGATCCTCTTGACCTGCACCTTTCCTACCAGGACCTGTTCAGCTCGGCGCCGGATCACCTGCAGGGCTAGCTCCGGCCGAGCACACATCTCATGCCCTTGCATCACCAACATATCAACCACCTCCCCGTCCAAACATGTGCGGATCTGAATCTTGTCCATGTCTCGCGCGTTGCCGGTGTCAACGGCAGCTACCCAGCCCCAATGGCCACAATTATGTACAAGACTTTGAACCTACATCTGCAGCGGCCAAGTCTTATGCACATGCTAACCTGCTTGTACCGCAATTCAAGCATCAAAAAACCTGCCAAGCGAAAACAGTTTTATGTTCTCTTCTTAGATGGCCAGTTCCGTTGCTGACATGCAACACCCCAAGCTATCTGATATCCTGGCAATCAGCTACTGCTTCTGCCTATGCAACTGATTTTGCCGCACTTTTGGGTGACACGGGCCCCAGCAGTTCAAGGCATCCCGTGTCTGCACTTGGCTCACTAGCCAAGCGCCACGCATCGCGCACGACCTGCAAATGGGGCACCCCCTTTGCAAAGGACAACCCATAGCTTCGTGGGCTTGGTACTGAGGAAAAATGTAACATTAAATTATTAAACTATTGAAACATATTGAAACTATGGATTTCTGTGAGCTGAAGGATCTTTGCCCATAGAAAATCCTCAAGTTACGACTATTGATTTTAAGATGGGAATCTACATCCTTCATCATATTTCAACCCTTTTTTGGGTGTTGCCAAAAGGTTCAAATGAATCAGGGACACCCCTGGAAGCCCATCCACCTGCAGCTTGGTCCCTTCATCGCTGGCGCTGCGCAGCCCCAGCGCAGGGAAGCGATTCAGCTCCAGCAGCCAGGGCCAGGGACCGCTAGCGCCACCTGACGGAAGCACCAGCGAAAAATGGGGAATTCCATGCAACAAATGGATAAAATGGAAATGTTGCAATTGAAACTGGAGATCTTAACACATTTCAGGCAGAAAAGGTTGGGACTCTGACTTTAACCAATTTGAAGTGGGAGATACACTAAACTGACTGATATGGGGAACAACACAGGCTTGGGATACGGGGGGTACGAAGCAACCAGCAGCGGTACACCTGGCGATGTCTTGGAGAGGATCACGTCCATTCCAAGGATCTTGGGTACCGGAAGCCTCAAGCCCATCATGAGCATGGTTACAATGTTTACGTACTTGAGAAATAGAGCATGTAAAACATACTAGGCCAATTCTATGGGGAAGCCTTTCACGTCTTCAACCTATTTCTTCAAGTATCTGATGCGGTAAACCCAACAACCAACTTACCATTTGGGAATCATAGTTACCACCCAGTTATGGTGATATTGGTGGTGGTTTATTCCTGGCTTTACCACATTACATTTAAACCAAGTTATTGGAACCCCAAAATAACTTGGTTTCAGCTGTTGCAGTTGACCCACGGAATAAGGGCGGACCTCTGGCAGCCTGGAAATCTTCCAACTTTGAGGTTGCAAATTCCTACAGCCATTCTCACATCAGCAATACTGTAGGATCAGACTGGATACTCAAAAATTGGGTGGCTTTTAATAGGTGTTATATAGTAATTTCATAGATTTTCATAGCAAAAATGATGCGAAATCCTCACCAAACTTCCCACCACCGAGTCCCCAGGCGGAAATTCCTCCATTTCTCCCACTGGGGTCCGCAGGGCTCGCGCCACTGCGCTAGCAGACAGCAACCTTCCCAAGCGACAGAGGCGGCGCCACAAGCGGCCCTTGGCAGCTGGGTTTCCCGGGAGGTTGTTCGAATCTTAGGATATCTTAGGTACCGGTATCTTAGGTAGAAGGGATTTTCTTATTGAGATTGACATCTTGGGAGTTTTGGGGGACAGTTGTCGAACGTTTGAGATTGAAAGTCTGTTGGGGTTGTGTCCAATTGGAACATTTGGAATCACTCAAGGTGCGCATCCGTCGTTGGCAGCCCGCCATGCCCCGCGATTCCCCCGCACAGATTCTGGCTGAAGCTCATCACATCCTACCTCAACCACTTGTCCCATTCCATTTCCCTAAAGTGTACCATGTGATCAACATGAACAAGCACCTGCGCGGGCCAGACATCTGATCTGTTTGGTCAAGTGCTTTGCAGGAGATCGGTTGCCAAGATGCATATGAACCAACTCCCCCACCTTCCGCCTGGGGTTCATTGGCAACTGCACAGCAAAAATGGGCTTGCGTGGGCTTAAAGGCTTTGCTCAAGAATGGAGGTACCAGCGGAATTACAAACTTGGTCATTTTTAACATGTCTGGCTCAATTTCAATCACAGCTGCTGCCATTCTCAATGCTAGGAAGCACATGGAAATGCCTGGAACACAGATTGGGTGGCATGCCCTAAACCATCCTAAACCTAAGGTGTGCTGCCATGTTTATCATGTTTTCTTGGGTTCGGGAAAAAATGACACCCCGGCCTCACTCAACTCCTCCAGCTGCTGCTTGAGCCACTGCAATGTGGGCGCCTCCCGGGCCCCAAAGGCATTGGCGGCTCCCAGCAACGTCAGCGCGGCGCGGGAGCAGTTGGTCACCTTGGAGCCTCGCAGGGCTTGGTAGACCAGGCCCTCCTTGCTGAGGTAGGCATGGCCTGCCACGACCACCTTGGAGCCGCGGATTTTTTGGAAAGGCCGACAGGGAAAGAAGGGAAAGCTGGGAAAGCTCCCAAAAGGTCAACGATGACAAATCGCCATCAATCTCCAAGGGCGACAATCTCTGCCGAGTTGGCAGGTACAGCCGCAGTGTGAAGCGCCTTTGGTCTAAGAGAATGCAATCCTTGGAGGAGTGCAGGAGCATGGTGGTGCCTCCCGGCACTTGGATGGCCATCCCCCCGAGTGGTCAGATTGAGCCCATCAAGCCCTGCAAGCACGGGCCCCCTATTTGGCACCTCATTGGATCCACAAAGTGCTTGCATTCTGAATTCAAAATTGAGCAGTTTCAAAGACCCCACTTGGTTGATGACAATGCGGGGTTTTGCTACCCTTTGTCAGAATCATGAGGGGATCGCAATGAATACCAACAATTGTCTTGGTGATTGTCCAATGTGTATTTAAGATTATTGCACCTCATTCCGTCCCATGGCCCATGATTTGGCCATCATTTTCCGAATTTTCCCATCTGTTTCCCAATCGCTTGGCTCGGCACGGCTTTGTCCTCCTGCAACAGCTGCCTCTGGGAACTTGGAACGCTTGGAACCTGTCAGCTGCGCCGCATTTTTCATCCAATCCCCCGCAACATGCGTTCAAATGGGGGTTGAATACTCCATGAAGACAACGAAAATTGTGCGATCCCATTCTCCCAAAAGCTGGTTTATGGGATTTATGTTATGCCCTCAAAGCCTCAAAAAAAACACCCATGGGCGTCTATTTCTATGCATTTGTGAGCAGGAAAGAAGCAATGGCTATGCTATGCTGTTGCTGGAAGCTGAAGACTGACGCAGTCTTGACGTGCACGAATTCCATCGAGTCAGCACAAAGCTGTGGGATACAAAAGTACCGACCCGTCCAAATTCTCAGAGAGCTTGGGAATAGAAGGGACGTTATTTTCTAATATCTGGAAAGGTGGATACAGCGATCAATTTCCTTCGTATCCATATCCCCCCAAACATTAGAAAATAATGTCCCTGCACAAGGTACAAAATCGTGCAGCAGAAAAGATGTGGCCGATAGCTGTTGCCCGAGATCCACCACACATGGTATGTGATCACCTTCACGTGCCGTTTCAGGCATCCACATTAAATCAGAGGTCCAAATGGTCAAGCCGAACAAAGCATCATCTTAGGCATCCACGACCTTTCCATCTTCGGCTCTAATCTGCTCTGTTGGAAGTTGTTCGCGACCGTAGGTGCTGGGGCTCTCCAGGGACAGGACGCAAATGATGACGGCAAGGATATAGAAAACTAAACCGTGTCCATCCCGGCCCAAAGTTGTCAATGACCATGCCTAAGTGGAAGAAAATGCAGTGGGACAGTGGGAGGACCAATTGCTTTCCGCACAGTGAAGTCACCGCAAACCCATTGGCCACCACTCGGTCAGCCGGCAAGGCCGCATTGTTTCTAAAGGCCAATGGGCCAAGTTCATGTAACGAAGCGCTTGGTGCAGAAGGGTAAGATCCAGGTGAAGTAGAAAATGTTCCAAATACATCCAAATACCAGATCTGCAAAACCAAGAACCCACCGATTTTTTAACAACTGCATCCGTCTGCCGCTGGCGAGCGGCGATGGCACATCCGTGAAGCCACCCAATTTGGATCCATAGCCGCCACAAAGCCCCAGGCTCAACACACCGCCGAAGCTGAAGACAACACACACGGTGTAAAAATGAGTGCCTTGCATTAAAAGCAAGAAGGCCATCATTGTTGGTCTTCGAACAGCACGGCATGGCGTTCTATGGGTTGGATGCGCACCTTCAGCCAAAACAGCTTCGGCACAGCTGGTCATCCATATCATCCACTAGATATGCATGAATATGCATGAATCATACTGCTGTTAGGATCTGATAGGTATTGAATGTGTATCAGATGTATCAGTTGGTGGACCAATCTCTTGCTGACCCGCCTGCGCCGACTCACTCTCCAGATACCGCGCAGAGTGGCCACCGTGTCCCAAGGCAGCCTTCAGCCACCACCTGGGAAGACCCGGCAACGATTCTAGGCAGCAACCGCCATTTAAAAAGTCTACAGAAACTCCATTGAAAAATAACCACACTCAAAGATTTCCACATTACAAGTCCTGCCGTCCTATCCCCAGAATTTGCAGGACTCATCCCCAACTGGGCTTCCTTTTTGCTCTTCGCCGGTGCCAGGGCATCTTGCTGCTCTGACGCTGCAGTGTTGGAGGTGCCCCGAAAAATCGGTTTCTTGCGCGTTTCTTGGGTCCCTCTCGGTGATGGATCAAAACTTGGGTGGAAAACCTGAAAGCTCATCAAGAGCCCCATGGTTTCGCGAATGATTACCCCAAAGTTTGCCATGTTACAGTAGAATGCAATTCTTTTCTGGGAACTGGTCAATTTGGGCATGGATCGGAAAAACCATGGCTGCCCCGTATGAAGATCCTGGAAATTGACCCAATAGATTGTGTTTCTCAACCAAGGTCTTTAGGGCTTTAGGGGTGTCCAGTTTCGTGCTGCCAAACTTGGGCTACCTACACGGGCTGGGTGTCGTATTTTGATGTATTTTGCGCATGGAAAGCACCAGGAGCGTCACAAAACCTACGACACACTCGGTGATGGAACGGAAGTTTTTAGGGAGAATGAAACAGTGTCGATGATCACTTCTGGTGCTTAGGACATGGCAATCCATTTGGAAACCTTCACATCCTTCACGAACCCCTTGGAATCTCCGCCAAACTTGGGTGTCTGATCTGTGGAATTTCGGACCACCTCCTTCTACAAGTCATGCCCTGGAAAGGCCGTGCATTGCCCAGGGTTGGTGTGTAAAGGTTCGCGTGGTGAGCTGCTAAATTCATCATTTCATGGTTCCTTCAACTGGGCCCTGGGGAAGATGGGACATCTTGCAGATTTCTGGTCTGATGTTTTTTTTTAAGAGGAAACCATGGGATACCATTTCAAGATTACAATTGGTTTGCAATCCCAGCCTTGAAGTTTCAACGGGTCAAATGCTGGATGTCAACTCCGAGACATCCAAGGAGTATGGGAACTGATTAATTTCCGATAGTCTCCATCGTGCATCATCCTCCGCTTCACTCATCTCGCGAGCCCTGACGTCATCGCACACGGAACTGGTCGCACATGGCATTGCGACATGGGCAGATTAGATCATTGCAATTAGGATATCAGAAATCCTGCAAGTCACAAAAAGTCGGCAGCTTTGTGACAATGGTGACTTCATATCACGTCCTCTAGTGCAGGAGATCCTCAAGCTGTGACCTCTATTGAGTCATTGCTGAACCGTTCCATTTTTGGACCATGGCACGGGGCCGCCCGTCCCGCCGGTCCCCACCGCAAAACTCTCAGAAGATGCCAGAACCAGTCCGGTTGCGGTCGCGCGCTTGAGCTGCTCGTGTCTGACTCTCCAGGTATGCACTGCGGGACTCCTGCAACCAGCTGCAGCATGGGTTGCCGCAGAATGCGATCCCATGGGTAGCCCCCACTCTTGGAAACATGGCAGCAATGGCTAATGGTGGCAAGCTGCTGCAAGTTGCAAGCTTCAAGAGTTACAGTTCAGTCCCAACTTCCAGCACTCCTCGGGATCAAACTTGCCCACCAGCGCGTCAGAGATCTTGCTCTTCTGGGCACGTTTATCCTGAGAGCCGTTCATTCTGGCAGTTTCCCAGGGTCAGGTCAGTTCACCGCATGTCAGGGCGCTAGTTTTCAGGTCGGCCTCATTTTTCAGCCTCGACAAGAGGCATTTTTTTGTGCACACGTTGACTCTGGTGATCCTTCGGGTTGACATCTCTAAATGTTCGGACCAAGATTCGGCCAGCGAGATGTTGTCCACAATCTTCTGCTCCAAGCCTGGCTGTTCAAAACCCACTGCCGATGGCTGAGAGGGAAAAAGTCATTGACTATACCAACTATACATGGCTATGGATCAATACCTATACATACCATTTTTAGGGGGATGAACATCCATTTACCAGCTATTTTGATGTTCACCAGGGGTACAAGGTTTTGACACACTGCCACATGTCATTCCAATGTTCCAATGAAAATCAATGAACCCTCCCAACTTGGAATTGGCCACTTAGCCAAGAGTTCAGCCACAAGAAAAACGGTCGAAACGCCTGTGATCTCGCGCAGTGGAGCTTGGTACTGCTCCAGCGCATCATAAACCTGATCCTGGAACTGCCGAATTGCTCCGTGAGCGAAAATCTCAATCAAACATCGTCTACTCACAAGCCAATATACTTTTTACACCATTACACCATTCAAGGTTTCCAACATGGAAGGAATCCCACTAACGTGGCTATCATCCTGTTCTCCACCGCACGTATAACATAGATTTATCAAAAGGAGGACGCAACTAACAACGTGGAAAAACCTATCGTTATACGCGGAAAAAGTACATCACGTTAGTTTACCAGAGTGTAATACATATGGGTTTGTCTGAAAATAATGTACCCCTACACCCAATGGTTAATGATCATTGTCCTACTAAATGGCTATAATTGGGGGTATACCCCATTTTCAGACATACCCATATATATATATAACTCATAACCAACAACTGGGCTCAAGAAAATCAAGAAGAAGCCTTTCTAAATTCCCCAAGTCGATCAGTGATGACAACCAGGTGAAGAGCTGTCCCAGCTGTCCCAGCTGTCCCAGCTCTCCTCGGTCATGCCCTTGTCGAAGCATTGCTGGATGAAGTCCATCTTCTCGGCTTCGATTTCGGTTTGGCTGGGCGGGACGCCTCAGCCAGGTCCCAAGCATCCTCTTAAGGCTCCATGTCTAGCTTCAATGACAACCTTTTTTGGTGACATTCTCATTTCTGTTGTTCAGATCCCCAGTCAAATCCATTTTCTCTGTCCCTACATTCAATGTTCATGATGGTTTGTTTATGTTATATGTTTATTCATGTTATTGTGTCCCCAATCCATTCATGTTAACTATGATCCATGATCAGATTATCTTCATTCGGTTTATCCGAGTTTATCCCCAATTTCTTGTATTGTTCTCCCCATGTTCCCACCACCCACTGCCGGCCCGGGACGCCCGGGACTCCCCGCTCTTGTCCGTCTTGGGACTGGCTGCAGTGTTCCAAGGTACCGTGGGGCGCGAGCCGGCATGATTCGCCTAGGAGCTCGCCCAAGTTTCACCACCCTAGGAGCACCTGCACAGTAGAGATTTCCCCCATATTTCCAGAAAAAAAACATCCAAAAAAAGACAACATTATATACCAGACATTGGCAATAAAACATATATTCATGGTTTAGCACCTTAATTTAATTTTCACATATGTATTTGGCTATACACAAAAAAATTTCCCCATATTACCAGATGTAAACATACCCATATTTCTCATATTTTTTCGGCAAACATCGATGGGTTCCCCATCTCTGTGCCTCGCGGCGGCGATTGGCCTTCTCTGACTGCAAGGTGTGCGCGTCCGAGACGTTCTCGGACGCATCACCTTGGAGCACATGGCGTCATGGCATCCAGCATGGCATCCATATAGCAACCCAAAAGAAGATTAAAAAAAGTTGGAAACCTGGAAATATATGGAAATATGAGCTAATTCCATGATCAAACAACCATCCATCCCATCCTGGAAACACGTTTTTGGCATCTTTTTGGGGGATTACTGTAATATATTTCTATCACAGGGTAAAGAATCATCTCCCATAATCACCATCTCCGAGATAGTCGGAATTGATGTTTTAAGTGTTTTGATCCAAGGTGATTTAGCAGGATCCAAGCTAATTGCTCAGATCCTGCAGCGCAACTGATGAAGATTTGGGCCTACCCATGGTGAGCAATTAGGTGGATAGAACAACTTGAAGCATGATTTAAACTTAGAGGGTTAGGAGGTAATGGAATGTAATGGAGGTATAGTATTCATCTGTTTGACCCAAAAGCTCTTGATGCAAACAGGGCTCCCCAAGGGCAGGTGCTGCGATGAGTTGGTGCATTGGCATACCGCGACATGACGGGAACAACGGAAAGCAACTTTGCGCGCGACTTATGATGGGAACGGAGTCAGCCAAAACGCTGCGCCACCAGAGGTGTCAAGAGATCTCCAGGTTCTCTCCCCAATTGTTGCCAAATTTTTGCATCCTTCTAGCTGGATTTAAGCTCCATAAGTTTGGTGAGGCTTAAAGCTGGATAGCGGACACTGCTAATCGAACACATATGTTATGCAGCCATGAACTTTGGTAAGCTGAAACCTAAACTCAGCATGTGACCATTCGTATTGTCATGTCAATCTACCGCTTCTTGACGGATCCAGCCTACCAAACCATACCTGACTCCCAATGACCAGCTTGCATCCAGGCAGCCCAGCTGTTCCAGCCGCTTCCAGGGCTGCCTCCAGGGTTGGAAAGACCCTGCTCTGTGGCCAGTAGAGTCGCAAGCGCCGATCATCTTCCGATTCCTGCCATGTCGTCGGAATCCAAAGCTGTGGAAGCAGAGAAGCAGAAAAGCAGGGAAAGACAGAAAGCAGGGAAGCAGAAATCCAAAAAAAAAGCAAAAAAAAAAACATCCGAAAAATAGCATCTAATCTAGCCATCTGTCTATCTATCTTTGATCCTCTCTCATGAAAGAGAGAGAGAGAGAGACATGACGTGACGTGACGTGACGTGACATGACGTGACATGTGTGCATGAACTAGCAAGCTGCCGGCATTTTCAACCCACAGCTATACCATCCCAAGCAGCCCATGGCCTTCAGCAACTCATCCAAGCTGCACTTGTCTTCAAGCAGGTACCACTGGGGCGCATCCAGCAATCGATTCGCTGCAGCTAAGGCCAGCAATGTTTCAGAGGTCTCTTCCACCTGCGGCATGGAAGCATATCTGCAACAGCATCGGATTGGTTAAAATTTGAATGCCCAAAAAACGAGATGGCTTAAAACTAACAAGGATGAAACCTTCTGGTTCCCAGCACTCCTAAGCATTGCGTGTAGATAGAGATGGAGATAGAGGTTCTAGATAATTATTGATATAGATAAACATGTACACATATGGTCTGAGATATCATCCTCAACTGCAACATCGCTTTGACTTGAATGTCAACAATGTCTTGATGAACTTGCGGGACCTCGGCTCCCTGAAGCCGCAGCAGCACTGGCCGCAACGCGCTGTTGCAGCAGTCTGTAGCTGAACCTGGTAGGATGCATTTGGTCAAGAACTTGGGTGGCTGATCAAAGCCAACACATGACGACATAACATATCTTCCTTAAGAGGTTACCTAGAGGTTACCTGGCTGCTTTCCTACCCTTGGTGCTGCTTGTTTGACCCTACTTTAAAATGACCTGTGCAGATCCTCAGAGAATCAGTCGGGTAGCTTAGCAGCTGTGCCACCCTCCGTGGCCGCCGTGGACGCGTTGGAAGGAGCCAGAGTGACGCAGCTAACCTTGGGATGGGAATGATCTTATGGCCACCCTGAAGCCTTCGGTGAAAAGCTTTGGCTGAACGGTGCAGCTTCCACAAAGGTGACGTCTTCAAGAGCACAAGCCAGAATTTCAATATGATTCACCTTTTATAGTGCTTTTTGTAGTGCGGCCAGGCGTGACGAATCAAAAGCAAATGTAAATCAAAAAAGATCAAAAGCAAGGGTCCAAGAAACCAAGTAGCAGCAAGAAGTTCTGAGCTGCCCTGGGATCCTCAGGCCTCATGGATGTCCACGTTTCCAGCAGCCGCTTCATCTTTGAAAGCTTCCCCTGCCGGAGCATCATCACTGCTGCACCCACCACTGCCCTGGAGACGTCTTCCTGTCCACCAGACCTCCGCGTTGGCTTCCGCAGCACCCTGCGGTAGGCCTCTTCCGCCCGCCCGAAACCTCCCAGGCGTCGCCAGGCATTGGCCAACCGCAGCCAGCCCGGTGCGAAGGTGACACCCTGGCCCTGGGTGGCACGGTAGAAGTGCCGCAACGCCAACTCGTCCTGGCCCAGCTTCAGCAGCGCATCCCCCAAGGCACACTCCGCCTGCGGCCGGAGGTCACTGGGAAGGCTGTCTTTGGCCAACAGCTGCTGCCAGGCATCGGCAGCCTCCTGCCACCTCTGCTGCTCTGAGAATTCCAGGGCATCGGTCAAGCTCACCCTACCCTGCAGCCGAAGCCCCCTGGCACCACGGATCGGAAAAACATAGCGAACCGAATGGGTGAGGACGAAGCCCTGCTGGCAGAACTGGACATTTCTCAGCATCAGTGCTTCGCACGGCCCATGGCATGTCCATGATGTTCTTCTACCAGGACTTCAAGAAGTGTAAGCGAGTGGAGTATTCATGGCTTGTCTTTCTCTGTCTTGTCCAGGTTATGCATGCTCCAAATGATAATCAGTGTGCTGCAGCTTGAGTTGTGGCTCCCTCGCTTCGGAATCTATGTGTCTTCCAGGGTTCAAGATCGACAAACACATTTTTATTTTGAGTGAAAACTTGCTCTTTAGTCGAATGGTGATGGTCCCTCTCCAGGTAGGTGTATGTCTCAGTGATTGCCTTCAGATGCCAAACTGAAACAAACCATGGATTGGTTCCTTTCTTCTGTGTCAATTCTTCTGTGTCAAATCCGTCGAACTGTTCCAAAACGGACCCAGAATGGAAGCATGCTGGGGTCTTGATTCATTTGGCACCTTGTGGGCTCCATAGCACCGCCACATGCGGACAGGTATCCAAATGCATGGTGAGAACTGTGACAACCACGCCGTTCTTTGTGGTCCACATAGCTATGGACGATCTGAAACCCCCAAACCCAACCTGCACAAGTTTCGATCAATTGCCAAGCATCTGTTTCATGGTGCAATTACAATTGACTGCTCTCAATCCACTGTTGACGGAATCATGCTTAGTTCTTTGGCTTTAAGCATCCACAACCATCCATTTTTGGGGGGCTATGGAATGGCTTTGACGTCCTATGCTCAAAGAATCTCCTTTTTTCCGAGGAAGCTCGAAGTTGTGCCCCCACCTGACATGGGGCGCGAGGCAGCACCTGATGAATACTCGGTGTTCCGGGTGGGTTCCATCTGAAACGCTTCATGCTTTTCAAAGGCCTGTTCTGTATGAAATCCCGATTTTTCATGGGGAAAATATCGGAAATCCAGGATTTTCCCAGTGCCAGGGTTGAAAAAAACACCAAAGGCCTATCACTCCAGAGGTGGAATGGGATTCGAAAATGAAATGCGTCACCCAATTTTCGCCCCCCCGTGCTGAAATTGGAGCAACGCGGACAAAAGCACAGAGCAGTGGTCAGCAGGTAAGAACACCAGTTTCCTGATGGTTAGGGGGACTATTTTGGGCCCCGAAATAGACAGACTATGATAAACTGATATAAACAAGGTGTTCATTCATGGGCAACAAATCAGCTTCCACCTTGTGTGGGGCGCTGGACCAGCGGCAGTATTTCTGCAGCAACCTACGCAAGCAGCTGTGCCATCGGCTCCCAGGAAGTGCCGCGTGCCCCAGTTCCGGGAATGTTCAGAAGGCTGAAGTTTCTAGACTCCATTGGATTCGGATGTATTTGGGTATTTCTTTATCTCTTTTTGGACAAACTTAGCAACAACTAAATCAATATATACATATATATACATATATATATATATATACATATATATATATACATATATATATACATATATATATATACATATGTATATATATATGACGCACCTTTGCCTCCTCATTCCCCCAGCACGCGCAGCTTCATTTTTTGCTGGGGCATCTCTGAATCTAACACGCAAGTCGAGTGCAAGGACGGTAGGATTTGGCACGAGGCTTTGAAAAGATTGCATCAATTGCTAGGCAATGAGGCCACTGCATGTGTTTGACAATGCAGAAATCCAAAAGAAGAGGTTGGCAGGGGAGGTGGAGGTGAACATGAATGCTGGAGTCGGTAGGTTGGTCATGAGATCATGATGCACCTTTGCCTCCTCATTCCCCCAGCACGCGCAGCTTCATTTTTTGCTGGGGCATCTCTGAATCTAACACGCAAGTCGAGTGCAAGGACGGTAGGATTTGGCACGAGGCTTTGAAAAGATTGCATCAATTGCTAGGCAATGAGGCCACTGCATGTGTTTGACAATGCAGAAATCCAAACTTTCCAAACATCCCGAACTAGGCTCTGATCATAGATTGCGGGCCGCCCAGGGAGCTTGTCCATAGTTTCGACCCAAAATCGAACCCATCACCAAACAAATCAAATGCATAACCATGTGGAAGCTATTTGACTGACCATCTATGGGCAGCTGGTCATTGTATAGGGTTTGGACGGCGACTGCCGCCGGTGACAATGCTGAATCTACCTGTTGAATGGCTTCGTCCAGAATTGAATCCAAAACCATGGTGACCAAAGCTACGGAACGGCGAAACACTGTCTTCACCATCAGGACTGTCACCTTACCACATAGCACTGAGAAGTTCGGCCTGGAACACACGACCAGCAACATGAAAATCAGAAAAGCAAGCTTGAACTTTGAGGATTTCTGGACCCAGCGGATGGCTCCAGTGCGAAGCCAAATCCCCCATTCAGAGACCCACTTTCGGTCTAGTTTTCCACTCGAGCTGCTGTCAGACTTACTATCTGGTTCTTCTGCACCATCTATAAGCTTCGAGGCCATGAACTGGCGACAGTACTGCATGAACCGAGGGTCTCCCCGGTAGGCTTTAGCACTTTTTGCGATCTCTACCTCCGGTAGGTCGCCATAGCATGCACCTTTCAAAGGACCACCGCTAACGGTGATCTTTCTCATCTTTTTCACCCATGCAGGCCCAGTCTCGGCATGCGCGGATGATTCCTTGCCCATGGCAGTTGAAAGGCTTTGAGACAACTAAGTGGTGACCGGGTAAATGCGTCTGCAAGAATCCCGGCAATTGCAAAAGAAATGAACCACGTTGTAAAAGACTCTGAACTTTTTCAATGCTCCGCTCCTGCATCTGTTGAAGGATTTGCTGCGACTTACCAACCTGCACATAGTGTTCTAGTGACTGGGCACTAGCCCAGCGACCTTGGAGCCTCAAACGACCTACGTCCATGTGAGTGTCGAACAAACACGTGGCGCCTCCAGCTCGCAGGGATGCAGGCGTAAACTTGCAATTGGCGAACTCCAGCTGTGCAGTGAGCTCTTTGAAAAGTCTTCTAAACTCAGTATGTGAGTGCTTCCACAACATCTCATGCGGCTGCAGGTCAGAGCAACACCAGACCACCCAGTTACAAACATCTGGCTGAGAAACTGTAGTGAACTGACTGGTCCCTAACTGTCTGAAGTTCTTAGGCTTAATGATAGAAATGGTTATTGCAGGCATTGCAAATGTCAAACTGTTCGGTAAGTTCACATGCCGACGCTGCAAATTTAACAACTCACCAGGCCTAAGAAGTCCGAAAAATCCAAGGCCCAGAAGCGCACTCACCCTCAGCATTTTTTCAGACTTGGAACGACTGGTCTCAGCCTCCATCGCCACAAGGCGTGCTTGGCATATCATGGCTATCAAAAGAGCTAATGGAAGCGGTGTCCGCATACTAGACGGCAAACTCTCCTCCCAAGCCCGGATGGTATCCCAAGTTCTCCTCAGTTTGTGCTTTAGATCTGGGCGCATGACTTGAATAAAGAGTATGGCATGTTTTGTTCCACGCATATTCACTCCAGATTCGTTTTCATTGTGACAGGCGGTCACAAAATGCTCCAGACATTCATCGATCGCAGAGGATTGTTGCTTGATGAACTTTGACCAGCTCAGCCCGTGTTTTTGCAAAAAACGGTGAAGTAGCTCACCTCCGCTGAGAAGCCTTCTTCTGTAGGCCTAGCTATATTTGTTTAATCTTAACCGACAGCTCTCCATGGCCAAGACCTACCGTGCACCATTTTATTTAAAAAACTTAAAGTTGCATATTTTTTCATGTCTGTCCTGTCATGTAAAAAACTATTGCAGTCCTTGCACACTTTAGTCTCTGAACAAATCCAAGCAAATACTATGATAGCGCTGACACAAAGCGCTTGGGTATGCACCTGCTAATGTGGATCTTCGTTGCCACCCGCTCTTTGTTTTTACTCCACCAATCACCTGCACATGACTGTGTGAGCCTGAGCATTTTTTGGCTAGACGGCCCAGTCCGGGTAAAGTGCCTGCGAAGGTGGTGGCTTTCCTAGCTAACCCCATCCTATTATTTTCATCAGGAATCTTTAACCCATATTGACATTGGTCCAAATTGACACAATTGCTCGATGTGCAGTTCAACAACTCGACCAAGGATGACATGTGCCATGCGTATGAACTTTTTGGATTTTCAATAGTAAAGAAAGATCCATGGGCATGCAAGATGGAACACAGCATCACGGTCCTACGCAAGATCTCATTCCCCTTTATTTCGCGCATGAGGGTATTATTTCCTTCAGGGTTATTATGACTACGGGTACCTTTGTTTAGACCCTGCAGAATTGAGAAACTGCCGCACGGCATTCCAAAGTGCCATATCTGACGTGGGTTCTTCGCGTCTTGACAGAGTTGCTTGAATGTGGAATCGCACAGGATATCATGCGCTGAAGAGGGTGTCCCCTTTTGAATCAACTCAACTGGTGCATCGACATTGATAAGCCCCTTCCCCCTGAACACGCCCGTCAGATGTCCTTTACCCGCAAAGATCTCTCGAAAGCTCCAGTGCTCCAAAGCAGGATGCCTATCGCATCTTGCTGCTGCATCCAGCCGCTGGGACTCATACGTCACTGCGATCTTGTCACCTAAGCGTCTGTTTTTGGCACGCTTATGGATTTCACGGTTTGACTTACGATTCTGCAGTTCAGCTCTTTCTGTAGCAGGCATGAATCCTAACTGGGCTGCGAGAACTGGATTATTGATCTCGGGATCTGGGATTGAGACCCCTCGTGACGGGTGGTCGGCAGGATTACTTTTTGTTCCTACCCAAACAAGGTGTAAAGACTTTTGACCTACGATGGACCATCCAATCATTGATCTTAGTATGCGATTCAGTTGTTTTGAGGAAGACCGGCCTTTACTTACTGCACCTACCACCACTCGGGAATCCACCAACAAAACCGCACGATATGGGTCATTGGAACTTTCAACTAACTCTTTGAGCTCTGACTTAACCATCTTAAGCTCTAGAATGTTGATATGTTGCTTATGGTTGAACTTACACTTTTCAGTGGTCGACCAGCAATGCGCTCCCATCAAGGCTTCAAGTTCGGCTGGTGCTTCTGACATTTTTGAAGGAGGTGCCAAGGCACCGGTTTCCCAGTCCAAACGCACATGCTCACCTGAATGCTCACTGTACCTATATAGTGTCTTGGCGATAGCTTCTGATGTGAAGCATGCCGCCCTGCCACCCCCCGAAAGCGAGGCGTCTGACGCGCCAATGCGCGAACTGATTGGCCATCGGATGTTGGCATGCATTAAGGGAAGGCACAGCGCCATCCAGAGAAGTTCTTCGCGGACATTGTCAGGGAGTCTATATTCTTTCTTGGGTTTCATCTTGGTTATGAATTGATACACCTCTTGCAACAATGACATGAAAATGCGGCGGTGCATGGCGGGATGCACTAATAGCCCTACAGCCTTTTGAAGCAATTTCTGAGTGACGAATCTGAGCTGACAAATTTCAACAATCAGTTCCCCTACTCCTTTCAGCTTCTCACTGCTGACCCCGACACGGCCGCTCTGGCTACTCACGCTGGTGCCCCATGCGCAAAAGTCTGAACACTTGGTAAATTGCTTTTTCTTTGAAATAGGAAGTCCTAGTTCTTGATACTTTTTCCTGCTACGATCTATCAGTTCTTCATCCTTGAACTTGGACCTACTTTTTCGAGTTCTGCGATTGGGCAAAATCTGCATCACCAAATGATCATCGATATACAGCCCCTCCAGTGTGTGCTTTGCTGGAACTATCTTCTTATAGGCTAAAGTCTCGTTTTCTTGCATGGCCCCACAATCTTTCAAGATCTGCAAGTGGGTTTCCTGAGCAAGATCAACTGCATTGCAATCCCCCATTGGAATGACCCTGAAAGATAGCATGTACTTTTTACCTGGAATACCTCCCCACTCTTGAAAATTTTTGCCATCAAAAGGTGTACCTACGCAATTTCGACCCAACCATTCATCATTATGCCTAAGCAAATAGAAGAAATTGGATAAATCGTCACCAGAACCTCGGATGGAATAATCTTTGGGGAGTATAATCTGTGTCAACAGGCTACCATGAGGTAATTTGGCCATCACAAGTCTACGTTCTAATTCATTTTGGGGTCTTCGGTCTAGAATGACCCTGTCCGACTCTGCCTTGTGTGGAACTGCGAACAGTCCCCCTGAGACGATGTTACCAGCTGAGTCACGGAGGGCTAAATCAACTGGCAGTAGACAGGCCACGCCGGATGCAAGCAGTTTTTGATAGACCGCGTCGCGATCACATGGCATGACTTTGAAAACTGCTTTGGTGGGGCGAATTGGTTCATCACCATGAGGCGCCCATTCATGCATGGTCTCAAATGCTCTGAGGTTATCACCCTTTAGGAAGTCCTTAGGATCAAGAATACCTGCCTCGGCTGGGAGGGACATCCTATCGGGTTTAACATTAGTGGCATTATTCATGAGTTCTTCCATGGTTTGTGCAAGCTGTTCATAATTTGAATTATTAGGACGGATTTTATGAATTATCTCTTCTAATTTCTGAGTTCCACGGCTTAAGGGTTCCTGGCACCTAAGCTTTACGAAACTATGAATTTGTTCATGCAGCAAGCCGGCATATGCTTCATGTTGCTCAGACCAACCAGCAGTGAAAGCTCTCTGAGCTAAGGCTGTTTGTTCTTTCTCGGTAGTGGGACTGCCTCCTTCTAGAAAAGTGAATAAACACCAAACCATTTCAGTCCATTTCCAAGACAACTTCCGGCCTCGCCCCGACTTAGCATTCTTACTGCTGGTATCTGCCACAACTGAAGCTGGCAAAACAAAGCGGGACGGAAAGAGCTTGAATCTCCCCGGTGAAGAGGAGGTCACTTGCCCCAAGCCCGACGTGGGCTTTCCATGCATTTTTCTAAAAAACCGACCAAAGGCACCGTGGCTCTTACCTAGTACCTCAACTGTCGAATTGGCCCCTATCTTCGTAGGAACCGCATCCATGTTGCCATCACGGCGACTCACGTGGTCTCGTTCTCCTTGGGCTCGTCGCTCTTCTTGCCTTTGCCCTTGCCCTTTTTCTTTGTGTCTTTCTTGCCCCCTCCTTCGGGTTGATCTGCGCTGCCACTCGGACCTCCCCAGCTGCTGGCACTGCGAAGCTTCTCCGTATTCTTCTCCAACTCCGCCATGCTGCGGAGGTAAGAGGTTACCTGTGAGAGCTCTTCCATGCTGCCCCCAAACTTCGCCTTGCTGATCGGATCGCTCAGATGCGTGAGCATCCAGCTCACTGACCAGTCCCCATTGTCGAGCGCTGTTTGGTGAACGCTCTTCAAGCATAGAACTACTTGAAGCGCAGCTCTCTCCCACTTCTCGCGAAGCATCAACTCCAACACCTCTGCGAACATGTGATAGCATCGCTGGAGGGTCTTCTGTTTGCCCCAGGGAATCCTCTTGCTCCCCTCGTGGATGCGGAAGGGACGTCCTTCCGCACCCAACTCTCTTTCCAGATCCTTCACGAAGCGGCGAACGTACCTCAGTGGGTTCTTCTTCATCTTGCGCTTGGCTGCCTCGAAGTTCTCCACTGCTCTTGCGCCTCCAGGTTTCTTGTATTTTTCTTTCCCGGAACTGCTGGCACTGCCGCTGGACTCGTTGTCGTCGCTCCAACTGTCTTGATGGCTGCGACGATGACGTTGGCCTCGTTGAAGATCTTTGTAGACCTGCAGCGTGACCCAAGCTCTGAGTGGATCCTGCTCGGTCGCTACAGTTTTCAGCATCAGATCTCTGCCTTGGTGATGAGAGACAGTCTCTTTGTCCTTCAGCTGAAGAAGCGAATGGCGGCCGCTTCTCTTCTCTGGTCCGCTGCGTCTTGCGCCAGGCGTACCCTTTTCTTGCCATTTCTTTTTCAGCTGTGCCAGAGCATCTCCAAGGTCTGAGTTTTCTGAAGAGCTTTTCTCGCTGTCCTCCTCCTCGGAACTCGATTCCTTTTTGAAGGACGGTCTCGATCTCCTGGTGCTTCTCTTCTTCTTTTGACTCTCCTCCTTGGTGCTTTCTCCGGCTGACAGAAAAACCATCTCGTTCTCGCTGGCTAGACATTCCTGCCCCTTTGACTGGAGCTCCTGGAGGTCTGTATCCAGTCTGAGGCATTCTTTCCCTTCGCAGAAGGCCATGAACTTGTTGGGCGGGCACCCCAGCAGGTAGAAAACTTTCCCACTGATCTCTGTCTGTGTCATTCCCTCTGGAATATCTGATCTTCCTCTTGCACGAATCAGGAGCTGCAGCCATCCGTTGGAAAAACCCAACAAGAGGGCCTCACGCCAGGCTGGTCGTTCACTATCGACCAGCTTCACGAATCCCGTCCGATGATCTCCACCACGTTCCATCCGTGCACTGAGATTTGATCAGTGTCTAGATGGAAACGGTCAGACTCAGCCTCGAAAAGGGTCACAGCGTGTCCTATGTCGTCTGCACGACGCCACCTGATTCCTTCAAATCGTCCGTTGTTGAGTTCCAACAAACCACGATATGCCACTAGCCCAATCGACCAGTGGATTCCAGAAAATCGCTCACCCCAACCGGGCACTGACCAAACAGTATAAACCCGCAGCTCAGGATGATTCAAATCGAAACGGTTGGGTACCAATTGACGACACCCCAGTTGTTGATCACCTGAGTGAATCACAAAAACACTTGGGCCCCCAATCAACGGCCGTGCCAGTGCGGAAACAGTTTCTGGCGGAGGCTGTTGAGCTGGCACAGGTTGCTCAGGCAGCAGGTGACCTAAATCTTCTGAGCTGCTGGCAGATGGTGACCTGGAGGCCTCACTGGACTCTGTTGGAGCACCTTCCGGTTCGGGCTCTTCCAGGCCACCACTGTCCCTATGGCGGCAACGACAACCTATCAATGACCTGATCCACTTGAACATGAATGCTGGAGTCGGTAGGTTGGTCATGAGATCATCCATGTGTATATATATATATATATCTGTGTGTATGTATGCGTATATATGTGTATATATGTATGTATGATATGTATATATGCATGTCAAGATATGAAGCATCAACCACCGAGACTCGCACCAGCCACTCAAACATCCGCGTGCTCAGCTCTTCTGTTCGGCTCCATCTCAGCGCTGTTTAAAGGTGAAACCTGGCCACAATGACACTAGATGAAAAGAATGACAACCATGATCATGTTTAGTCGAAATTACTATTATATAATTAGTAGTTGTCATCATCATCATCATCATCATCGTTGCTACGATTATCAATTTTACACTACTAGTCATCATACTGCTGCTTCTGACTACGACGATGTTCGCTTCCACCTCGAAGAAGCCTGGATCGTCCGAGGACTCCCGGGTCTGCTCCGATAGCCTCAGCAAAGTCAGGCTGTTTCCCATGTGCAAAGTCTGTTGCAAGGGGAGTTTCTTCCCACTCTTATTTTAAAAAAACACACATCTTCGGTCTTCACCGAGTCTTCACCCACCTGAATCTGCACCTGGAGATTTCAAAAAAAAACATTCCAATGGGAAACAGCATGTTCATGCATTTTCCAGACCATTCAGGGTACGTACAGCAACCCCCAAAAAGCATAGAAAAGTAACATATTTTTTGAAGCTAGTGGTAAAAGGTGGTTTTCAATCCCCATTTTGATCCTTTTTCTGGTTACAGTTTGCCCCAGAAAAAATTCAGAGCCATCGAGCCATCGAGACATCCCTGAGGCCAGCGCGGTGGCCGTAGATCCTCATCATGAGGGTTCACACCAATTTTTGTCAGCGGCACGTGAAAAAAATGGTGGTGTTTTAAACGGTAAGGCCCTGACCCAGTCACCAGTCAGCTTGTGAGGACTGCTGTGTTCCTGGAACGGCAGGTGGAAAATTTTCCAGTTGCTCATAGTTGCTTTCTTTGATACCTCAAGAACTCACCAAAGGAAATCTTTCAGACTCCAAACCCTTGAGTTGCTTCTTTTGGCTTCTTTTGTCTTCTACGTTTTAGCATCCCCGCACCCAAAAAAACCTCCGAGCTCCTTAGAATATGGATTTCCTATGTGAAACATGTATTAAAAAAATGCGATTTTGTTCGGATGTTTTCTCCTGTAGTTCTTGGTCTATTTTGAACCGGACCCATCTCCCACGGTCTCTCCACTCTCCAGGGTCCATCAGCGAGATCTGCTGCACCAAGGTAGTCCCCACCTGTGTCTGGCTGCTCCTCAGCCTCCGCGGGATGTTTTCAGAAAAAATGAGGCAGTCAGAAGGGAAAATATCTGGATAAAACAAATCTGATAAGTACTGATGATGGATGAGGATGGTAAATTAGAATAGTAAATATGGTAATTATGATCATAATAGTAATGAGAATGAGAGCAATAATGATAATGATAAGAATACACCTGAGAAGAGGGGACGAAAGCCAGGAACTAGTTGGAACGGGGAGACGAGAGTGGAGAGGATGGGAGGGATTTCAGCGGGGGTTGGTGGAGGAGGCAGCAGTGCGAGGCTATATTGAGTGCCGTTTTGGAATCCGTGGGGAGAGGGAAGGAATGTGCAGGAGACTTGACATACTATACTTGACACTCCATATGTGGCATTTTACATTCCACACTGGACTGGTTCGACGTTAGACTTTACAGTCTATACTATAGAATCGACACCCCTACATTTCATATTGTACAAGTTATATTTTACATTCCTGGCTCTTCACTGCACACCTGACACTCCACAGGAACAGGAAACAATTGGATTTTCAAATCTTTCCATCAAGTATGACAATGATGGGGTTCCATAGATTTTGCCGAAGGTAAGCTAAGAGGGAGCCATGCAAAAGTAAGAAACATTACCATAACGAGTAGATTCTGCAGATGGTGGATTCATCCAAGTGTGTATCAAGTTCCTCATCTGCTAGCTTCTATTAGTCAGAATCCATGACGAGACGATGTCTCAGAGTTTCAAAGTTGAGCTATGTCGAGCAACTTCCGGCAAACTACTTTGGAGTCTTCATGCCTGCTATAGAGGTGTTTATTGGGGCTTTGCTGTGCGACTTTGGACGGCTGCCACACATCAGTCCCTGAATGGCGTTGATTGACCCACCAGCAAACCTAACTTGCACAGTGCACACCATTTTTTTGGGCCACGATGCCTCTCGTCGTACGTACATACGTACGTAGGTAGGTATGTATGCATGCATGCATGTCTGTATGCCTGTATGTATGTATGTCACCGGAAATGCCTGAATAGAGACCAACGAACGCGCATGCAAGGCTCTACAAGACCGCAAATCAATTCTCAACACTTTTTAAAAAGTGTTTAGAATTCTTAGCATCGTTCAAGACCGACAAAAAGCGTAATGAGTTGCCCGAAAAGAGGAGGTGGAGGTCACTTATGGGTATGCATAACCTCCGAGAAATTACACATGATCCACTACAGGATGACAACAAAATTATTTATGATAATCACAATAACAACTTCATTTCGGTACGTTTGTCGGGATCAAAATCTAGTGCCCCCCAAAATATATTGACATCTTGTAGACATATATACATAGATGCATACATATACATATACATATATATATATAATCTATACACGATATGATATGATACTATGTTGTAAACTGGTGGAATACATCGAATCCCGTCCGGTGGATATCAAATGCTGTCTGGTTGCAAGCCGCAATACTGCAAAACTGTGGGATACACATGGCTATACTCATGTGATCGCAAAGCTTTCGGATCAAACACCCGTTTTGGCGACCTCAAAATCGGGGCCGGCATTGAAGCCATGCATGCAGTTGGGCTACAAAATACTTATGAACAAAAAAGGAGCGATGGTTCGAGACAGCAATAGTTTGCAAAGCAGCTGCAAAGCCGATGCTGCACTAGTGGACCATGTGAGACTCCGTTCTTGCTTCATTTCCCCCTCCATTCCCGTCGCCCCCAATGCACGTTTTTCCGTGCCCCCAATGCACGTCACTGGACGGACCAGGGGGGAATCGAACCCCACCGTCACCCAATTGCCACCTGGTACATCAGCCTCAAAATCGACCACGGTGGCCACCCTATTCAGTTGGGGAAGTGCCTCAAAATGGTCCGTTTTGAAGCGACCGCCCCCCGGACCCCCTATTCTCACTTCGTTCGCAAAGAGCAACTTCAGCCAAGCTTGACAGCTGGCTTTCGTAATTAGAATGATAACACTAAGCCGAAAAGTTCGGCCATCTTGGGCCCAATGCTGACCATCATTCCTGTGACGTTGCGACGTGAGGTCGTTTTTATCCAGATTAAATCTTCAGGAAAACATCTCCGCATGATGAATGGTTGCAGCAATCTTTGATGAAAGCTTATCTCTCAACGATTAATGATGAATGCTCCACTAATAGTGTTTGTGCTGGGTTTCTCAGCACAGACACACTTGGCGCGAAATCGCGGCTGCTGAAAAGTCTTGCTTAAAGCCAAAGTTCAAATCTCAAGTCCCGAGAACAATCCTTCTCAAAAAGAATCTGTGGCAGTAGATTGTTGCTTCTAAGTAGAACTTCTAAGGGCTCCTCTCTCAACAACCCCAGGCAACCGTCCGCCACGGCGCGAAAAATCCCGACCACAACTCACGACCACAAGTGGTTTGGTCGAATCCCAAAATGACCCAAACATGTGAGTCAAGTCCTGGACCTTTGGGCCACAGAATCAGTATCTTATTCAGAACCAGCTAAGTTCTGCCCAGGGCCATGGTCAAATATCTTACATTATCTTACTATATTGATATATAGATAAATAGATTATGTATACAGCAATATACATTCAGAACCTGTGAGCTGAGCATCCTGGCTGTATGATGGATGCTTCATCTGTCGCCACCACATCATCATGGTCTTCGTCATCGGCACCTTCACGGAGCAACACTTGGTTTTTGAGGGGGATGCACATTGCGTTCAACCCATAGCTATATAAATCATATCCTACTTTGTAAGGCTATATAATGAGTATAAGACCCAGAAACATGTAATAATGAGATGGTTGTTGACATGTTCTTGGATTTAGCACATGCAATAAGCGCCCAGGAGGAGTTGCAACTTGTAATCATGAACCTTATGATACAACTTCTTATGCATGGCTGGTAGCCAAGTCGCCGTGCATGGGTCCTTCCGTTGGGCCGCAGCATTCGGGCTGACATTGTCCCATGACACAGCAAAACCGCGTGAAAGCGCTGTGCTGAGAGTTGCAAATGCCTGGAAGTGCCACTAATAGCCCCAACAGCTGTGCCTGAAACGCTGGGATTAGCATTACAAGCTGCTAAGCCCTGTCCTCTCTGTCTTGTGCCAATCAATAGCACAATAGCTGCCAACTGCGAATGGCAGCCGCACCTTTAAAATGTTTTTTTGGGAATCAAAAATATATACAGTATGTCTCACGCTGTGAAAATCCTATGTCCAAACCATTTTTTTCGGTTTCATGCATGTTTTAGTTTTTAGTGATCAGGAATGTTGCCATCCGTCTTCTTTTGACTTTTCTGATGTGAAACCTACTGCCTTCCACGAGGCTTGGGCCAAGAGTGGAGCATTGGACATTTCCGGAAGCAACATCTTGGTGGTCATCCTAGCATCAAGGTGATCCCTGGCCTACATTTTCAATACTGGAGTGGAAATCACCTAGAAACCTCTAGGACCATCTGGCTTTCTATCTTCGACTTACCCATATATCCTTCCTTCCATCTATCCAGGGATCAAACCCATCATGTCCCATCTCTGGTTGGTTCCAGGATTGTTGTTTGGTCATCACCCACCATAGCATTTCAACAATCCTTCAAGCACAGCTGCCTGCTTTTCCGCCATCCACAACTTCTCAGAAGACTAGTCATGACTCATGGAGGGTCAAATGTGAAACTGGCTGCAGACAGATCGTGACTGTTCTTGACCACACTTATTGACAGTGTTCTCCTTTCTTAATTGAGGCGCCTATGGCATTGGTGTCCGTGACCTGTGCGCATTGCCCGGATATCACTACGCGCTTGACACGAACTTTTGGAAATAAGGAACGGTGCCCAACAGCATACCAATTTGGTATGAGTCCGGCCACAGGGTGTCCAAGTTAAGACGCAACTAACACTGCTTGGCTGTGACGTTGCGACGAAACAAAAATAGAGACGTTCTGTACAAAGGCTGTTTGGAGTAGACCAGCAAAGGTTAAGCTGGCAGCGCAACCAGTGATCTTCAGCTGTGAAGGTTTTCAAGTTGGGATCAAAGCATTGTGACCTCCACTGGCGACAATAAGAATGGAGGGATCAAAGTTCGACTCAGAGTATTTCAAAAGCTCAGGGCCCCTCAGGGCCCCCCTTAGCAAGACCATCCTGGCGATGTTTGGCCAAACTGTGCCTTTGTGCAACAGAAACTGCAGCTTAGCCGCCCCAGTTCAGCGAAACGAAGACATGGTGGAAATCTCGTCTTGGGCATCCATGCCGCCTCCCAAACAACAGGTAACCCGGTAACCAAATCTATCATTGGCGATCTTTGTAGAACAGCGCATCCTATATCCACTCAAAAAAATATCCTAGACATGGAGAGAAATTGAGTAAGACCTATCCGTCAGCACAGCCTTTCTTGGGAGAAGGGAAAGAATTCCCGCACCTTTCTTGCATCCTCCATTTCTATTTTCTGTTCAAGTCCCTACACTAAGGGTCTAAAACCATCTGCAGCCACAGAATCCTCCCTACAGATTGATATGCGTCGAAACCATGGACTGGAACCCCTTGGCTGTTCACACGCAAGTAGCTGGTACTTGTGGAAGTTCATCACACCAACTTTGGCTCAGGAGCTTTTGAACCCATCCCAATGAGATCCCGCATGTCTGATTCTGAGATGCCCTTTTTTGCTCATGAAATCCATATCTTTAAGGGTGAGATCTCATATTTTTACTGGTGAAAATCCCTATGCTTACCACTAAAATCCACCTGTTTTTTCCCTGCTGCAATCCCAATTCTTACAGCGCCTCCAAACTTTTCCTGGACCTAATTTTGATTGGCTCTATCCTGAATGTTAAAATTTTACAGGCGGAATCACAATTTTGAATGATGAATGAAGCAACCCTTCGTTTAGTTGATGAAATCTCCATGGTTCGTCAAGTTTTGGCCATGAAATCCCCATTTTTCATCGCGAAATCCCCATGTTCCAAGCCACGGAAGAGACGCAGATGCTCGGCCACAGAACCGCGGCGCATCAGCGTGGCTTTCTTGTTGCGGGGGCTGCGCGACTGGTACACCTGGTTGGGAAAGGGCTGGAGAGATCCAGTTAGACCCGTGAGTCACCAAGGAGCAACCAATGGTCTAAATAAGTATATTCTTTAATATGTATATGTTTTATCTCTGTGTATGTTAGTTGTTTATATGTACCTGTACTTATTTTATGTATTTACGTACTTATTTTTTTTTGAAAACATTTTTTCAAAGAAACAAACATACTTACCACACCATATCATATCTTGCCGTACCAGACCATACCATACCATGAAAAGCGATACAATACCGTACCATACAATACACATACAACTATAAGCACAACAACAAGCACAAATACAAATACAAATGCAAAACGAAAATTCATGTGCAATGTCAGTATATACGTATATACATATATACATATATACATATATACACATATACATATATACATATATACATATATACATATATACATATATACATATATACATATATACATATATACATATATACATATATACATATATACATATATACATATATACGTATATACGTATATACGTATATACGTATATACGTATATACATATATACATATATACATATATACATATATACATATATACATATATACATATATACATATATACATATATACATATATACTATTATATGTCACAATAGGTTGGCTCACCATCCGCTATAGAGAGCCGATGTCTCGTTGAAATCAGAGTGATTTCTTCACTAACTTATCATGTAGTTTGATGAAACCCCCAAAAAAAAAAGGGAGGAAAATTCAAACCCAGATTTTCATCACTCTACTTGCCACGGCTGATGAACCCGCGACTGTCAGCCTCTTCCAGAACCCGGAGAATCTGCGACAGCTTGTTGTGCAGGTGAACCAAGTCCTTAGGACCAGCTACAACGCGTTTCCCTGCCAGTGCTGCAACACGTGCACATGCATCAATTGTTCTATACATATACAGAAACAAATACATACACAAAAGCACACACACAGATTATATATATATACCTAGATGTATACCTAGATGTATACCTAGATGTAGATGTGTGTGTGTACTGTATATGTCTGTGTGGGTGTGTTCATGTGCATGTGCGTGTGTGTGTGTGTGGGTTGTGAAACATCTGAAAGAGTGTCAAACATTTACCTACTGTCTCTCGTCGAAGGGAATTGCAATGTCCTGTGGTGTAGGTTGGGGACGCTTAATCCACATGCCTGCTTTGGAGATGATGGCTAGCGGCTAATATCATCCCCTGGACTTCCACTTCGTTGCGAGTGGGTACAAAACAATTTCAGGGGCCTGCTTTGTAGCTAAGATCTTGTTCTATCAGGGGTGAAGGATTCATTTCCCAGCAGACCACTTGTGGTCTATTTCTTGTCTAGCGTGTGTGTGTGTGTGCATGTGTTTGATTCTCTGTTTGTTTGTTTGAATATGTTAAGATCCACTGCCTCACTGCGCCACACTGTTGGCTCAAGCCACTGTGACTGAATAGGCTAGACTGAAGAAACTGACACTGGATAGATCACTGTGAAAACTGTTGAGCGAGTGCTGAGATGCTGCACTGTGTGCTGCACTGAACTGTTCCTTACCATTTTTCAGAATATTTGTTTGCATCTGTGTGTGTTGGCATGTAGACAAAAGAGTAAGTGAACAATTAAGTCATATGTGGGTTTCTCTGAAATAAGGCGCCACAAAATCCACTGGTTGATCGTCACACCCCATGGAACTGATGGTTCGATGACCAGCCCAGTTTCCGCTTGCATGGCAACTTGGTCGATGGCTCGGGCAGGGCCTTTACATCTCAGAATGCCATCGATAAACCTGAGTTGGCCGTCTGTTATTCCACCTGGATGTCCGTTTCAAGAATCTAAAAAAAATTGTCTGAGAACTGGATACTCCAAATTGTGATGGTTAAATCATAATTTGTTCATTAAAATGACAAGCTTGGGGCCCCCCATTTTTCAGTCAGAGCGATTTCAGTCTTACCCAATATTTGGTTTCGGAAGCTCTGTCTGGAACCTGTAGACGCTCGAAACTGCTGCAGCACTTCCCCGGAAACTACAAACTATCCAAATCTACCCAGCCTGTGGCCATCGAAAAATGGGCGGCAATCAAAATTCATCAAGATCCAAAAATGGATGTCCATCAACATCAGCCCATCAATGGAGCATATCCCAATAGAGCCTTCTACACGGCAAGGGGCTCATCCAAGGTAACCTCTCCATCTCCATTGTCCTCACAAGGAGTCATGATCATGATGATGATGATGGTGGTGATGATGATGATGATAAGACTCAGTTGAGCTGTCTCTCACTCTGTAGTGACAATCTCCCTGTAGCCCAGCAGCTGTACCATCAGCTTCTCTTTTCACTGTGTACGCTCAAGGGCCCTGTATCGAGCCAAGTCATGACAGCTGATTGCAACGTTTGTGCAGCGAGTATGGCATCACTCTCACGAGCTTCGATCGTTGCTTTACGAGAACGATCGTCCTTTGTGATGCAAATCGGATTGTGTGTTCTTTGCTTGCCATGGCACGGATTCAAATTGCAATCATGCTCAACGGGAACTTCAAAGATTTCAATGTTGTCCCCAAATGAAACAGTGCGGCTGGGTGTAACTGACATTGCAAAATGCTGGTTGTGAAACGGAGTGGAGGCGAAGCCTCCCGGCAGTCGAAGGGTTGATCACTGCGACCATCATCAGAGCGCGCATCAGGCAAACTGCAGCTGAACCTGAGGAATATGGTTTTCCCCCTTTGTCCTTGAGACTCTGAGAGCCCTTCGAGGAGTTGGAACCTCGACCGGTGACCTGGAACGGTCACCCTTCTTCTGCTTCCTCTTGTTCTTACTCTTCCCACGCCTGTCGTCTTTTGTAGACGGAGCTGCAGGCTTCGGCGGATGCTGAAAAGCACAATCACTACCATGGTGACACTTCCCCGCCTTCCAA